TTTATGGATTTACACATGTTGAACCATCCCTAGGATGTATACCACTTGATCATGGTGTGCAATCTTCTTGACGATTTGCTGCGCTCTGTTTGCCAGTATCTTATTGAAGATTTTTCCATCAGTGTTCATTAAGGAGATTGACCTGTAATTGGGTCCTTGTCTTGTTTTGGTGTCAGGGTAATGCTTGCTCCCAGAAATGAGTTTGGAAGCATTATTTCCCTTTCAGTTTCATTACAGAGTTCAAGAAGTAGTGGTATTAGATTGTCTCTAAATTTCTTATAGAATTCAGCAGTGAATCCATCAGGGCCAGGGCTTTTCTTCAGTTACATTTATTTTGGGTTATTTAGGATTTTTATGTCTCCTTGATTCAGCCTTGGTAATTCATATGTATCTAAGAATCTGTCCATTTGTTCTGTGTTTTACATCTTACTAGAATACAGATTTTCAAAGTAGATATATATAGATGATTTTCTGGATGTCTGTAGGATGTGTTGTGATTTCACCCTTTTCATTCCTAATTGCATAGATTTGAGTGTTTTCTTTCCTTTTTTTGATAAGGTTGGCTAAGGCCTTTCAATTTCATTTAATCTTTTGAAGAACTAACTGATTCGTTGATTCTTTGTTTTTTTTTTTTTAAGTCTCTAGTGTGTTGATCTTTGTAATTTTCTCCCTTGTATGAGCTTTTGGCTTAGTCTCCTTTTTCCAGAAGTTTGAGGTTCAATATTAAATTGTTTATACGTACTTACTCTGTTTTCCTGATATGGGCATTTACTGCTATAAATTTCCCTCCTAAGACTGCTTTCATTGTGTCCCACAAGTTCCTCTATGTTGTATTGTTGTCATTCACCTGTAAAAGCTGTCTAATTTATTCTTTAATTTCATCTGTGACCCATTGGTTGTTCAGTAGGGTGCTATTTAATTTACTTGTGTTTATGAAGTTCTTGTGGTTTCCTTTGGCATGGATTTCCACTTTCATTATACTGTGATTTGATAGTATGCATGGGATAATTTCAGTTCCTTTCTTTGCGTTTACTTAAGCATGTTCTGTGAGATAATACATGATGTCATTTGGAGAATGCCCTGTGTACAGCTGGTAAGAATGTATATTCTCGTGTTGTGGGGTGAAACAGTCTATAGACATCTACAAAGTCAAAATTTAATTTAGTTCTATTTCATTATTGATTTTTTTTGTCTAGTTAATCTGTCTTTTTGTAACAATAGGGTATTGAAATCTCCCAATCCAATTATTGCATTAGGGCTTATTTGAGTTTTCATGTCTGATAAAGTCTTGAGTTGAAATTCAGTTTGTCTGCAGATAAAATAGCGTCTCCTGCCTTTTTTGGGGGTTCTAGTAGCATGCAGTATTATTTTGCGTCCTTTGACTTTCAGTCTATGAATTTCTTTTTGAATTAAATGTGTTTCTTGTATGCATCATATTGTTGGATCTTGCTTCTTGATCCATTCTGCTAGTCTGTGTCTTTTGACTGGTGAATTGAGACCATTAACATTGCTGTGTATAACTAAAATATATTGTCTTATCCTTGTCCTGTTATTTTCTTGTTGTTGGTTCCCCCTTGGTGTATAGTTCTCTTTTTTGATTGGATCCGTACCTGGTTTTTGTGGTTAGGGTAATGTTAACTTTGAAGAATTATTTTGAGAGTGCTCCCTTCTCTCTCAATTCCTTTAAAATACTGAGGAATATTATTGTTAAGCATTTCCTGTAAATTTTTGTAGAAATTGGCTGTGAATCTTTTAGCTTTTGGATTTTGCTTAGCTGGTAGTGCTTTGTTTGGTTGATTTTTTTTTTTTTTTGTTTGTTTGTTTGTTTCTCCTTGAATTCATTGCTGTTATTAGATTTTTAAGTCTAAATTCAGTTTGAAAATTATGTATATTTAGGAATCTCTACATTTCTTCTGATTTCCCACTTTTTTAAAAAGTAAGATTGTCTAAAGATTTGTTTATTCTTTAAAAGAACCAATTCTTTGATTCATTGATTCTTTTTTGGTCTCCTTTTCATTAATTTTTGCTGTGATCTTTACCATTTCCTTCCTTTTACAAGTGTGGGTTGTTCTGTTTTTCTGATGTGGACATTCACTGCTGCAAATGTCCCTTTTAGGATGATCCCACTATGCAGTTCAGGCTTGATTTTGAATACATTGTAGCCCAGGCTAGCCTCAGACTCAGGGATTCTTGTGTCCCATTATGCCTCGCTCAGACTGCTTTCATTGCTTCCATAAGTTTTGGTATGTTGTACTTGGCTTATTATTTAATTCTGGGAAGTATCTTATTTGTTCCTTAATTTTTTTTCTGTGACCCATTGATTTGAATAGAGTATGTTGTTTAATTTCCGTGTTTGATTAGTTTCTTTACTTTCTTTTGCTGTTGATTTCTAATTTCATTGCATTGTGACCTGATAATATACATGGTAAGATTTCATTGCTTTTGCATTTGGGTAGCTGTTATTAGCTATCATGTGATGCACTTTGGAGAAAGTATCACGTGCAGCCCAGAGGAACATGTATTCTGTTGGTGTTGTGTGAAACACTGTACACTAAGCGCCTGACTTACAAAGTTCTGTTCCAGGAGAACATTCAAAAGTTGGATTCACTTTTAAGTCCAACAAAGTGTTACACACCTTTTACAGAAATATACAATGTACAGCATTTTTTATGCTGGGAGTTGTTTTGAATCTCTGTCTTTAGCTCTATTAGCTATTTATTAGTGTTGTCTAGACTCACTAAGCATTTGTGTTACTATAGTCATTATCTGGTTGGTTATATCTTTTTTTTGTTTTTTTTTTTTGAGATGGGTTTCATTGTGTAGTTCAGGCTGAGCTTAAACTCAATTTGCAGCCCAGGCTGGCCTCTATCTTAGAGCAGTCCTCCTGCCTCAGCCTTCTGAGTGCTGAGATTACAGATGTGATAGCACCAATGCCTGGCTGGTTATATCTTTTTAAAATTTGCTACATATCTCATTGAACTGTTTTGCCACCATTAGTACCCTTTCAGACTGATCTGTTGTGTGGCTTGTAATTTTCTCCCCTCCATGTTCCATGAACCTGTTTTAGGGAGTTCGGAGTTTTCGGAGGCTTTGTCTTTTCATGTTTCTGGGTTTTTTTTTTCTTTTAAAGGGGGTAAAATTAAACAACAAAACAGAACAAAATAGGACATAAGAAAGCAATGTAAGAGATAAATTTCAAAGCTACACAATTTGAGATCTTTACTATCTATCATATTGTCTCTTGTTATCTTCCAAATAGTTGCCCATGTCTTCACATACAGAGAATTCATACAAAACAACATAGTATAAAACTGATACGAACAGAATGAGGAAGGTTTTTTGTGTCTTCAGAACCAGACAGTAGGGAAGTCACTAATGGCTGTCTTAGAGTATCTCATTCTCTTCAAAATAGCTGTCCATACTTTCATGTGTATTGAAGTTCAACAAAACAAAACAGGCAGGGGGGGAGGGGTTGCTTGGTTTCCTGGTGCTCCAGGTCCAGCATGGTTCGGGTCCTAGTAAACACCAGTGGCTCCCATCCTGGGCCCCACAGCCTGCCACACTCACATTCCTCTCACAGGTGGGGAGGGGGTGGTTTGTTTCCAACTGTTTCTTTCTAATGAATTGACCATTTCACTGCTCAAGTTCTTAAATGGCGAACAGATCATAGAAAGACATCTCTTTAGGCTCCTGCTTGAAACCAACAATGTCAGGAAGCTGCCTGTCTTGATTCAGGGCCAGATTTCTGTTTTTTTTGCAAATTCTCTGTCCCAGTGCTGCAGTTCTTCAGGAGTAAGCCACTACTGTGTGGTGTGCTATAGTAGGACATTCAGTGACAACAGTGACAAATCCTAGGAAACAGTCATGAACAGCCCTTAACCAGAACAAAGAGGATTATGATTTATGTGAATACAATGATGTTTATGGTAATTTAGACCACTAATTATGAATATAGGTAGCAGTGCCAGACCATAATACACCACTAGACTAAAGTCCTCTTCTTCAGAATTGCCCCCTCTAATTATTACTTCCACTGAAGTTGGCCTCCCATGTTCTGGAGATCTTCCTGATGGGAGCCCAGGCCTCCCAGTGGACCCCAGGAGATCCTTGTTTAGCTCTTACCTTTCCAAGTTTATCTCTCAAGGCTGTTTTTCCCCCTGGCTCTGTGGCAGGGAGGGTATCACATCAGTCCTGAAGCAAAACTGTCCTCCTAGGTGGTGTTGTCTTCTGTGATCAGATCTGTTGGTTTTTACCTCTATTGACCTGTGCCATGGTGAGCTCAAGGGCTGCACACAGGGTGTGTGGTTCCAGTCTTCCTGTCTTGGACCAGGGCCACACAGGCATTGGTGTTGGTTGGGGGCGGGTCAGACAGTTCCTGGGTCCTCCTGCTTCAGCATAGGATCCATTGGCCCTGTGTTTTTAGATTCGGTGTCATTCTTCCTATTTTAATGAAGGCTTTCATGTCAATTTGCATATTCATTCATTCATTCATTCATATATGTGTAAAGCCTCAGTTGAACCTATAGTTTTTCATAAATGAAATGTGTGTCCTGTTGTTGTTTTTTGGTACCAAGGATCAAACTCAAGACCTTACACTTGCCAGATGGGTGCAGTGTACGCCTGCTTTTTTTTTTTTTTTTTTTTGTCTTTTTCCTTTTTATCAGTACTGGGGATCAAACTCAAGACTGCCTGCTTGCAAGGCAGGCGCTTATGCTGCTGAGCTAAATCCCCAGCCCCACTCCTGCTTTTTTGTATATCTTATATTTCCTGGATATCCTTTGATAATCTTCCAAGATTGGATTTTAACACTTTATTGGCAATGATACTAGCAACCACCTCCAAGACTACTCACCTGATGTTCAGTAGATGTTAACTTTTGCCCTTAATGGTAGTGGATTATTATAATGTAATCATATATTTAGAACATACATGATCCTATCTAGGCTTTGAATAGAAATTTAAAATACGTTCATATGTATATATTTTGTTGCACATGTCAGATAGCAGCTGATGAACCTCCACCAGAAGGATGTAATTCGTTTTTCTCAGTACATGGAGAGAAGACTTGTGATTTTGATGTCCTGGAGACTCTTCTACTAACAGCATCTAGAAGGTAGGTTGTGTGTTTTTTCATTTAAATGCTGTGGCCAAGCATAGTGGTACATGCCTATAATCTCAGCACTTGATAAGCTGAGGCAGAAAGATTGCTGAGTTTGAGGCTAGCCTGGACTACAAAGTGAGTTAAAGGCCAGCTGAACTACATAGTGAGACCCTATCTCAAAAAGACCTGCTTGTGCCCCTAAAAAAAGTGCCAAGCATTTTTTCACTCATCTCTAGTAAGCCTACCTTTTGATTTTTCTTATTATTTTGTAGTCTTAGGTATAATAGTTTAGAATATGGATTCTGGAATCAGAGTGACTAGATACACATCTCAGCTCCATCACTTAAATTAGTTTCATGAAATGGAACAAATTTATTTCCTTTTCTCTCAAGTGGAGGTAATGAGTATTTGATACTCCCATTAATTTGGTAATGATTTTATCTGGGAGATTAAGTAGGTTTTGTTATTAGCTTGGCAAGAAATAACTATGTGTATGAAAGCTAATGCCTGAAGTAAAAAAAAAAATGTTCTCTCAGAGTGTTAATAGATTCAAAGAAGCCTATTTGGATAGTAATTGTAAACTGATTCAAATATAAAATTGGTATTTTGTGAGTTAGATATTCTTTGCTGTAAGTGCTGTCAGTGCATTTTCTGTGATCAACAGCTGTCATAAGTGTCAGTTTTGCTGTCTGGCTATCACAGTGGCCCTTTCATATCCCCTCTAAAGCTGCTGTAGATATGATGTGCTATGGGTATGAGAAATGCTAATGGAATTTGGTTGGTATAGCTGCCCAGTATGTGTCCTCTACCCCTCAAATGACATTAATGCCCCTTCCTCAGGCTGACACCTAATAGAACAACTAATAAACACAGTGTACATGCCAGCCAGCTATGAACATTTGAGAATAGTGCTGTGGTTAAATAGTACTCTTTTGGGGAACAAAACTGATGACTTTGTAAATCTTTACAATCACAGTGACAGTCTTGATAAAGAAAAGAGTGCTGGTATCATCTTTCTGAGAGATAGTAACTACTTTTTAATGTGTTGGCACTTAATCTTGTTAGTTTGTTCTTGGTTTTAAATTTATACAAGTAGGTAGGGTTATTTTTGCAAGAGACGTTTCATTTAGCACATGTATGTGTACCTCAGTATTTGTAACACATACATGGTAAGCTGTGTAAGAATAAAGTACTGGTGGCTTGTTAAGTCCTTTCAATTCTTTTGCTTTTTAGTTTTTGCTATTATAAGGCTAAAGGGAACATCTCTGCCATCTGTCAAATAGTCTGTCATAATAGAGGTTGGTAGGCCATATCAAGATCAATTAAAATCTTGGCCACCCCAGGGAAAGTTTTGGTTTTTTAAAAAAGGTTTAAAAATTTATGAGAAAAACTGAAATGTTACAGAAACTAGTGGGTACATCAAAATAGTAAAAAAGTAAAGCTGGGCGTGGTGGTGCACACCTGTAATTCCGGCACTCAGGAGGTAGGAGGATCACTCTGAGTTCAAGAGTACAAAGTGAGTTCAAGGCCAGCCTGAACTACATAGTGAAATCCTGTATCAAAAAAGTCATAAATAAATAAATAAATAATAAAAATGGTAGAGGAGTGAGAATGAAATTAGTGAAATCAGTGGCTTATAAACTGAAAGTCATCTGTGCTCTGTGCATCATTTATACTTAATTTCAGATAAAAGATAATCATATTCTACATGGTAAAAAAAGTACTATAGTACTGTAAGATTTGGATATGTATTTTTTTCTGCCTTGATTTTTTACTAGGAATTGGTAACAATTATTAATACAATTCTGCATTTCATAGTTAGTATTTATGTGTAGTGTACTTTTAGTTTCTATAGTCATGAACAAGATTCATGTGGTAATGTGAGTGAAAACTATTGAAGATTGATACACTTTATAGTAAGATACTTCTAATCTTAAATTATCATAGCTGTACTTGATGGTTGTCTGAATTTTAGCACTTAAATATTTTATGTTGAAAATTTACAAATTGTAATATTTATTTCCAGACCCAAACCTTTATTGTTCAAAGGAGATCATAGATATCCCTCATCTAATCCTGAAAGCCCAGTGGTGATTTTCTACTCTGAGCTTGGCCTTCAAGAATTTTCTAGTTTTCACCACCAACTTGTATCAAAAAGCAATGCAGGCAAAATCAACTATGTATTCAGACACTATGTATCTGTAAGTATTGACTTATTTTGCCACTGTTTTGAATATTGATTTGGCCAGTATGACCTTAGAATATCAGCTAATAATTTCCTTCTTTATGAAATAATTTAGTTATTGAACTATTTTTTTTAAGAGAAGTTCGGTACTTTTCATTAGCTCTAAATTGCCACTGCCTTGCTTGCCTTTCTGAAGAAAGGTGAATTATACTAAAGCACTAATTTTCCTGGGGCTGGTGGCACACTCCTGTAATCCCAGCACTTGAGAGACTGAAGCAGGAAATCACCTAAAGTTTGAGTCTGGGCTATGTAGTGAATTCAAGGTCAACCTGAACTACAAAGTGAGACCTTGTCTCCAAAAAAAGTAGCCTAATTTTATTTCAAAATGAACTATCAATATAAAATGTCTCTTTCTCTCTCTCTTTTTTTTTTTTTGGTACTGGGGATCAAACTCACGATCTCACATTGCCAGGCAGGTGCTTATGCCGCTGAGCTTAATCCCCAGCCCTAAAATCTCTTGTAAACTTAGTGAAATCATGATAATATGAAATTCTTAATTTTAGTTTCTTTTTTTTTGTCTTTTTCTTTTTTATTGGTACCGGAGATCGAACTCACGACTGCCTGCTTGCAAGGCAGGCGCTTATGCCGCTGAGCTAAATCCTCAGCCCCAATTTCTTTTTAACTCTTTTCATTTTTGCACCCATTCATTTGGTGCCATTTCTAAAAAGAGGTGAAAGCAGGCAGAATCAATTTAGAATTAAACTTATAACACTTGTCTTTTTTTTTTTTGTCTTTTTGAGACAGGCTCTCTCTATGTAGTTCAGGCAGGCCTTAAGCTCACTTTGTAGCCCAGGCTGGTCACAATGATCCTCCTGCCTCAGCTTCCCAAATACTGGGATTACAGGTGTGAACCATCATGCCTGGCAACACTTAGTATTTAAAATATATATAAAGAGTCTTAGCCTTTAAAGTTTATGTGTCATAGTAAGTTAGCAAATATTAGATGGTTAGACTGTACAAGTCAAAAAATTTAGATGGCAGCTTGAATGACCAGAAACAGACTTTTCAAAGTCCAATGTTTTGAAAACTCCTTTTCCATCTGACCCTTAGGCCCATGGCTAGTATTAAAAGTTAAAATTTCTAAAGGGCCATCATCATTTACGGTGGTGATAAGACTGTGTCATAGGGTCAGCCTAATCCCAGCAAAGCAGTTCAGTTTGCCTACTTGCTCTGTATGTTCTGTACTTTCTTTTTCATTCTGTATGTCTTCCTATGGTTTGGAACCTTTGTCCTTTCAGTTCTCCATTCTGAAAAATATTAATTTTGTCTCTACCTGGGAATTCTCATTTCCATAGTTGGGACAAGATTCAAAATGTAATCAAAAATAGGATTTTTCTGGAGAGGAAAAACTTTGAATTGATTTTTTTTTTTAAAAAATAGAATGAATGTTTTAATGGTAGGTAAGTACTGTTATTGTTGCAATTTTAGTAAGCTCTCCTGTATACATAGTATCTGTGAAGCAGGATGCTTTTTTTCCACAGTCCCAGATGATGTCTGCCTGATATAGTGTTGACAAGCCCTGTTGAGCACACAGTGACCTGTAACAGGTTGGGTGGTGATGATGAAATAACTGCTCTGCTTGCAGAATTCCAGGAAGGAACCAGTTTACCTCTCTGGCTACGGTGTGGAATTGGCCATTAAGAGCACTGAGTACAAGGCTAAGGACGATACTCAGGTGAAAGGTGAATTTGTAAAAATAATATCAATGAGTTAAGGGGAATTTGTTTCCATAATGAAAAAGAACAGATTTAGGAGAATGATGAGCTTGTGCTTGAGTCTTTTTTTTTTTTTTTTTTGTCTTTTTCCTTTTTATCGGTACTGGGGATCGAACTCATGACTGCCTGCTTGTAAGGCAGGTGCTTGTGCCACTGAGCTAAATCCCCAGCCCCTTGTGCTTGAGTCTTACTCTGTTTTGTTTTCTGAACTCGATTCTTTCTGTCATGACATTGTAGGGTTGTTAATTTGTTTTCTTCCCATTTTTTTTTTCTGATTTTATTTATTTTTGGTTTTTAATCAGATTCTATGGTATATTATGTATGCATAATGATCATATTCATCATAGAGAATTAACTGTTTCCCATTCCTCCACTCTCCCTTTAACCCTTCCTCCCCTCCCCATTTACAAAAGCTTTGTTTCTATGTTTTCCTTTCCTTTTTTTTTAACTTTCCTTTCCCTCTCTGCTCTCCCTTGTCCTCCTCATTTGAACATTTTCTTCCTGTTTCTCATTATCTATTACATATTTTGGCCCTTATTTACACTTTCAGTTTTTCACACCAGAGAAACCATGCACTATTTGCACATGTGTGAATGACTGTAGAGGTTTTTTTTTTTTGTAGCAGAAATTGAACTGGGGACCTCATGCCTGCCAGGCAGGTGCAGTGCTACTGAGTTACATTCCTGGCTCTGCTGTACAGTTTTTAGTTCATTGTACCCAGATGAGCTTTATATGCTTCTTTACTTCTTCCTTTTAAACTCATTTTAAACGTAAAAATGATCAATTTGGGTAATGAAACAAATGGATAACAAGCTAGTACTGTGTCATCTTTTTCCCTGAATACTTATATTTAAGATTAAGTTGCTTAATTGTAAATTCTTCAGGATTTTGTCTTTGAAAAATTCTTTGTCCATAATATTAAAAGCTACTAATTTGAAATTTTTAGCTTGTAAAATTTTCTAAAGTTTAAGAGAAAATTACATTCTTGCTGAACATACTATAACCCCAGCACTCTGGGAGTTTGAGGAAGTAGGGTTACAAGTTGGAGCCCAATCTGGTCAATTTAGTGATTTAGCGAGGCCTTGTCTCAAAATAAAAATAGAAAGGACCAGGGATTTAGATCAACATTAAGCCTCTCTGTGTTCAATACCTACTACTATTCAAACAAACAAACAAAAAATAAATGAAAGCAATAAATCTTTTCTTCTATAGGAACACGGGGAATGTTAAAACACATTTATTAAAGACCTGTTGCACAATGTTAATGAAATGACATTAAAATTTCCGGTGTTTCTGACTGCTTTTTACATTATTCAAATGTTAAGGTTAAAACATTTTCATTTCTAATCTGACCCATTAGATATGTAATTTTACTGTTTTTATAGGAACTGAGGTAAATACTACAGTCATTGGTGAAAATGATCCCATTGATGAAGTTCAAGGATTCCTCTTTGGAAGGTTAAGGTATGCATATAATGGCATATTGTGTTTATTTTGGAAGATACCCTTTAATCTTCAGACTTCCTTGCAGTCCTTCACATTACTGACTGTTACTGATCTAGTGGTATTTATATATGTAATTTTTTTTTTTTGTCTTTTTGAGACAAGGTCTCTCACTGTGCTTACTTTGTAGTCCAGACTGGTCTGGAACTCACACCGCTCGAATGCTGGAATTATAAGGTGCACCACCACACCTGGCTTACATATGTAAATCTAACATGGGGAAGTACTCACTTTAGTGTGAAGTTTGTATTTCCAGTTATTCTGAAAACATATTCTTTTCCTCATGCTTGCTTTGCTTTGTGCTGTTTTTGTAGTGCTGGGGAGGTAACTTAGGGTCTGCTGCATTCTGGGTAGGCATGCTGCTAGAGTTTTTCACTGTCAGCTCTGAGGACACCACACTGTGGCCTGCCAATGGCTTAAACTGATTACAGTTTTCTCTCAGTTCATGGCATAAGGTTGCATGCCATTTTTAAAAATTGAATAATAGGATAAGTCAACTTCTTTCACTTAATTTTTTTCTCAGGGGAAGAAAGAATATATTTTAAATTAGATCAGTCCTGGTTGTTTCCTCTAAACATCTGAAAAAAATGCAAAAAGATGTAGATGTCTTATAATACAACTCAATTGAATACATTTTGTTAGGCTGTATTTCTTTCTGGTACTAAAGATTGACTGACCCCAGGGCCCTACACTTGGCTGATCCACTGACCTTCATCCCTGCTCCCCTTTTGTTTTTCTGTAATTTTCTAACCCCAGGTTGTCCAGACTTGCCTCAAACTCAGGGTCCTCCTGCCTCAGTCTCCGGAGTAGCTGGAATTGTGTATGGTAGAAAATTGAAAATTTTTTAGTGTGGGTATTTTTAAAGTTTCATAGTTCTATAACCATTTTATAAAAGCAGTATTTTGTAGCTAAAAGACATCCTAGTTGTTACTTTATTTTTAAGATTCATTTTGGTATTATTGGTATATGCTCATAACATGTTGGTTATTTCTGTTACACCCCTCTTTCTTCACAAAATGAGTTTTAAAAGCTATTTGGTTACATTGTTTTATGTTTTGGGAAAAATAAAACTGCTAAAATTCAGCAAATAATGTGTAGATAAATATGTATAGTTTGTTAACTGAAACACAAAGTTATTTTAAAATAATTTATGTTTTCCTGAAAGTATTAAAACTAGTAACATGTTATTTATAAGTAATAAATCTAATGTGGCTAATTTGTATCTTTTAGCTAAGCCACATTATCAACAAGATAGGTGCCTTAATTCCTAATTTTATGTAAAAATAATGTCTTGGTTACTTTTTTCTCATTGCGGAGACAAAATACCAGATATGCAAAATTAGGAAGGAGAAGCTTTATTTACCTTACAATTTTTGAAGGTTTCAGTCCATATTTAGCTGGCTTCAAGGCTGGGTGGCATGGCTGAAGGGCAGCTGTTCATGGCAGTTGTATGTGGCAAGAGTAAAACGGCAAAAGAGGAAAGTGTGCCTTCCTCCTGCCCCTACATGTATGCACCCTGGGTGGGCAGCACTCACACTGCCAATCCCTGCGCTAGATGACAAACCAATCACAAATGCTAGATTCAGCTGCCTCCATGATTGCAGCAAGTTTGGTAGGGGCCCATCCGAGCACAAACCATAACAAATACCGAGTGTTAGTGTTAGTGCAAAGCAGAGCAGGGCATTGTGGCACAGGGCTATGATGCCAGCACTCTGGAAACTCTGGCTAGGAAATAGCAAGTGGAAGCTCAGCTTGGGCAACTTAGTAACTGGGTGGAACCCTGTCTTAGAATTTAAAAACGGGAATGAGCCTGGGGAAGGGTGAATGTCCTAACTTCAATGTCCAAGGCCTAAATAAATAAGTAAATAAGCAAATAAATAAGTGTAGTAGTGCATGAAAAAAATCTTACAGTATTAATATAATATTTATCTGTTATTTTAAGTTTTGCAGTTATTTCAGTCATGTCTTGATAATTATACAGAGCCTTGGTTTGTTCTTCATCTGAACATTTCATCTGGGACATCTGTGGTGTGCTTTTATTGTTTATTAAGTATATTTGATAGGCTCAGTTTTATATACTTTAACCCTGACATTTGGCTGAATGAGATTGCTTGACCAGATTAATACTCAGATGATGTTGTGGTTCAAGTTGAATTGTTGCTTGAATTAGTTCTCGCATATGTACATTTCTTATTCATTAGCAGATTCTGTTTTGTTTATTTTTGTATTTGCAGTGCTGGGAATTGAACTGATGGCCTTTCCAGTGAGCTACACCTCTAGCCTTTTATTTTTATTTTTAAAATTTTGAGAGCAGATCTTGCTAAATCACTGAATTGTTGGATGAGGCGCAAACTTGCCGTCCTTGTGGCTTAGAGTGCCGAGGTCACCACACAGCTCATCACCAGCTGTGGTCTCATTAGTATGTGATCATGTAACAGCTTTATTTGATCCACATTTTCAGAATCCTTTTCATATTTATGCGTGTAGGTTTTTTTGATACTGGATGTTATGCATTTTCAGTGTAAATACATGATATATATTATATTGAACACATTTTCCTTTTGGACATTCAGAATAGTTATTGAACTATCCAAAATAATTGGACTATTTTGGATGCTTTATTGTGGATCTCGCTGTGGTAACTGGGTTGTTTGGAAATTGAAGGACCTGAATGAATATTTGCATTGGCCGCAGGTTGCAGCTAAGAGATTGAGTTTCTAGCATTTGCAAGAACAGAACTCATCTCCCAGACATTTGTCTGTTTGACCTAAATGTTACGTATCTCTTCTGCTGCTAGCTATTTTATACTTTCAAATGGATTGTGTACTCTTATTTCAAGATAACACCTCATAACTGTGATTAACCTAAATTATGCTTCTGTGACTAAAGGATATATGAACATGTAGGCTGAAAAAAATCATTTTGGGACTGGCAGCAATTGCTTTGTTCACTTTTATTTTTGGATTTTAAAAATATCCATGAAAAATATGGGAATAATGTTTACTCATATGCTCACTACCCTTACTTGGTACACTTGCTTTGCTATCCCAAAGAACTGTTTATCAAGTTTTTTTCCTCAACATAAAGGTGTGGTGTTTTTGTTTTTGTTTTTTGGTCTTTCTGAGACAGACTTGCTATGTAGTTCAGGCTGGTCTTGAATTCACTTTGTAGGCCAGGCTGGCCTCGAACTTGTAGTGATCTTCCTGCCTCCTAAGTGCTGGAATTAGAGGTTTGTCATCATACTTGACCAAGGCTTCTTTTTACTTAAAAAACAGAACAGGGTAATAAAACACTGCAGGTGAAGTTGAAGTCCCACCTATACCTACTTTTAGTCTTTTTACCCTCCAGTGAATCACTGTTTCAGTGATTCATTTTTAAGAAAAAAATTTAAAATGAGTTGCACCGTGTATTACTGCTTACTAAACTCAAGTAGTTACACATTTAAAACAGTTTCCACTACACATGGAAGTTCTGAAATAATAAAAGCTATATAGTTAGAATATCAGTTTGCTACAAGCATATAAAAACATAAAGAGTGTTTCTTGGAGTTTTGAGGTATCCCTTTAAAACACCATCATGCTTGCATAGGTAGTCCTTCTCCAATAATCAACATGAACTCTTTTTCTCAAGAGGTTTGTTTTCTGGATACTTGTAAGATTCAGAAAACAAACCCAACAATTAATTAGGCACCATAATTATGTCGTAACAATTTATTTGCACATAATGCTTTAAACTCGGTTTGGATGAAGTTCTCAAAACACTTGGGTATATGTAGTCTTTAGAGACTTCCAGGAATAACAGAAATCATACATTCCTTTAAATCCTCATTTTGCATTAAAATGAAGAAGTCTGCATTTTGGGCATTTATTATCAATAAAATGGTCCCCATTTGTATTTCTCAGGTTGCTATGGTGAAAGGCATTTTGCACATGCTGGGCGATGGAACCTGCTTTGAAATGTCTTTTCAGTTCTTCTGACTTTCCCACAGAAAGCTTCAAAGAGAAGCATAACTCACTGTGCTAAAAGAGCCTGCAGTAGAAATGGAGGCCTGCTCTCTTCTAGAACCTGTTCTGTAATTGACTCACAAGACTTACTTAACCTATTTTTAATGCAGCTAAATTGGATGTTATAAATAAGTACTCATTTACTATGTCACTGATAATTTCAGTATTTCACGTAGAAGCTGAGAAATCAGTACTTATTACCATTTCTCTGAATTTTTTGTTATGTGATCTTTTAATATGTAAATTTTATGGTTGTTGAACTAACTTACGTTTATATTTATTTTTTAGAGGAATTTTTTTTCTTTCTTTCTCTTTTTCTTTTTCTTTTTCTTTTTCTTTTTCTTTTTCTTTTTCTTATACTGGAGATTGAATTCACAGTCTCATGCTTGACAGGCAGGTGCTTATGCTACCTAGCTAAGTCCCTGGTTAGTGAAATATTTTTTTTTTTTTTTGGTAGAGTTAATGATGTTTTCTTAGAAATAACAGAAAATCATGAAAATAAAGTTGGAACCCTCTAAGGGTACTATAAGAAAAAGACAGAGAAAAGGACTGGTTTTATTTTTTTCAGAGACCTGTACCCTGACCTGACTGGACAGTTGAAAGAACTCAGAAAGCATCTTGTAGAGAGCACCAATGAAATGGCACCTTTGAAAGTTTGGCAGTTACAAGGTACTGAAAGTTTAGAAAGATCATTGGCTTGCTTTTTTTTTTTTTTTTTTTTTTTTTTTTAGAAAACCAGTTTCTTTATTATGCCGACAGGATGGAAGGAGTTCAGTGCCCCAAAGTCTGCACCCTGAGTCTGGGTTATGAGAGTCATTATATAGAGTTTGTGGTGGGAAAGGGCAGGTTGGACAAAGGCAGTTATGCAAAGGTGACAGGTTTACAGTTTTGAACATCTTGTCAGACTCAACTTGACCTACTTTTTTTTTAAATAAGTTTTGTGATGTTAAAATATGCAGAATTGAAATTTAATTGATATAGTCACATGATTATAATAGTACCACAAATTTTAAAGTTTCAGTGATTATGATTAATCAGAAGAAAAGAAACAAGTACTTTAGAAGGCAAATAGTGTTAGCAATGTAGTAATAAAGTAATACATACAAATGAGTTCCAGACCTTCTTTCAGTGACCAAACACATAAACCCTGGAATACTAGAGATTCATATCTGGTCTTATGTTCCTATATGTATACATTTCTTAAATGGCATATGTGTAGAATGTTTGAGGGAGAGGTAGAATTAGGTGTACCTTTCTGTTCCAAAGAATGGTTAATCAAAATTTTTCCACCATAATTATTAAATGCCTTAAGCTGTATTTTGTGATACCTTATTTTTTTTAGATAGGTTCTTGCTATGTACTTCAGGCCAACCTTGAACTCACTGTGTAGCCCAGACTGGCCTAAAACTCAGCAGCAATCCTCCTGGCTCCCAAATGCTGGGATTATAGGTATGCACCACCATGCCTGGCTTGTGATATATTTTAGATTGAGAAGAAGTAGAAATGTTGAAGCTCAATTTAGGTTTTGCCTAAGTTTGTCTTAGTTTGTCTGAGTAGAGCAGAAGTGACTCAGTGAATACTATGAAGCCATGAGGTGAATGAACCTGAAACTAAACCATGAACTCTTTGCAGAATAGTTGCATGAAGGCACTTTTTATTGTGAAGAGCATAGTGGGAAGTAAGCCTGAGTATTTTCTGCTCTTCGCTGTATTAGATTGATGCACTCTAACCTCCACTTTACATTGTTACAGATCTCAGTTTCCAGACTGCTGCCCGAATACTGGCCGCGCCTGCTGAGCTAGCTTTGGTGGTCATGAAGGATCTTAGTCAGAATTTCCCCACCAAAGCCAGGTAATGTAAAGTAAGGTCTTGATATATTTGTCTGCTTAACATTTCTACTTATCTTCATGTTTAGTTGCTAAACGATGTAATTAAAACAGGAAAATACTTAGAAAATGAAAGTTTTATCACCATACTCATGTGCATGGTGTCCTGTTTGAGGAGTGGACAAGACTGTGTGGTGTGGTTGTGGAGACGGATCCAGGTGATGCTCTTGGTACTGCCTCTCACTAGTTGTGTAAGCTACAAATAAATGATGGCTCTACCTCATTTCCCTCCACAATAGAACAGCAGTACCTGCCTTTCAGGATTGGATGAGTTACAGATTCTAGCATATGCTGCTATAACTGATTTGAGAGTTTGGCACAGGTGATTGCTTCCTGAAGGGTTGTATGTAAATCATGTTATTAACTCTGCTGAAGGAACAGAGCCAGACATGCTAAGTGACTGGGTCATAATAATGCATTAGGATTTTGAATTTTTTAACATTGCTTTCTATATTATAATTTTCATTCACACCTCATATATGCAAGGCAAAATTGTTTTAGAAACCATTTTTGGTTATTGACGTAAATCACTGCCAGTACTTTTCTGGGCATGCCATATTTATTTATTTATTTATCTTTTTGAGACAGGGTCTCACTATGCAGTTCAGACTTACTATGCAGTTCAGGCTCACTATGCAGTTTAGGCTCACTTCGTAGCCCAGGCTGGCCTCAAACCTGTAATGATCCTCCTGCCTCAGCCTCCCAAGTGCTGGAATTACAGGTGTGTGCCATTGCACCTGGCCTATAAACAAAATTTTTTAACTGTATGATTTTGTAAGTCTTATCTAAGAGTTATTTTTCTGATGTATTACTTAGAGATACACAAGGAGAATTCCTCTTCTGCCATTAGGGCTTACAGAGGATGAAAAGTTTGCTGCCTTAGTTTATTTAACATTACCTTTTTATCTTTTGAGTGTTACAGATCAAACAGCCGTAGATTAATTAACTGAGATTAGCCATAGATAAGCCGTAGATTAATTAACTAAGAACTTAAGAGACAACTGTACTTACTTTAAAATACTCCTGATTTTCTTTGGTGTTATAGTAAGGGAATTGTAGATTAATTGTAAAAATTGGAGGTTTTGTTCATTCTAGTTTTCTTTTATTGAACAACATTTTTCGTATGTTTAAAAATAGGGAACATAAAAGACATTATCAGTATATAGTTTAACAATTGATATTATTTTTATCCCATAGAGCAATAACGAAAACAGCTGTGAATTCAGAACTTAGAACTGAAGTGGAAGAGAATCAGAAGGTATTAAGTAATGGAAAATAATCATTTTTCTACTTATACTGCATTTTTTTTATTACTGTATTTTTGAAAATTTTTTATTTAAAGAAAAAGAAACAAAAAAAATACATGGAGATAAAAAAGGGTAGAAATAATACAAAATTACAGAAAAATAATCGGTAAGAAATCGCTGGTTGATAAGTTACATATTGTCATCTTAGAAATAGCTGTTCAGGTTACAAAATTAATGTATTTAAAATGACATTCAAAAAGTGACACTGCAAACAGTTCTGCTCAGTGATCGAACAAAAACTCAGTAATATGGTTATCAGTCCTACACACTTGTTTTACATCTCAAAGAGGGTAAGATTAAACATATGAAAACAGAACAAAACAGTTAAAAAAACAATTTAAAGAAATACAGATTTCAAAGCAAGTCCACTAGAGATCTTCACTGTCTATCTAACTGTCTCTAGTTTCTTATAAATAGTTGTCCCCATCTTCACCCACATTATATACATATTGCATATTATAGAACTAATCAAGTCATTACAGGATGATGAAGGCTTTTTAGGTCTTCAAGATCTAACATTGGGGAAGACAATAATAACTACTATCACATTTCATATTCTCTTTGTGGTAGCCATCCCCATCTTTACATACGCTGAAATTGAACTTGAGACTAGACTAATATCATTCTGATCAGTGAATAATAGTATTGCTAGAATTTATATCATAATGCTACAAAATTAGCATAATCTCATGTGTGAATTTCTACATATATATCTATCCTCTCTGTATTATAGGGAAAAACAAATCATAACAAGACAGCAAAACAAATTCCTAGAAAAACATGCAATGGATGAGACATATAAGACCACAATATAGGTGATCTTCCGTAGTTACTATGTTTTCTCTTGTTATTTTCAATAGATTTGTCTACATCATTGGCTTAATATAGTTAAACATAGTATTACCTATTTTTATAAAAACACAACTTTGAAAGCATTGTAGGCTTTGAAAGCTGTTAATAATTAATACCAGTATGGATATCCTTTACATCTTGTCATCTTCAGAGTAGTTGCCTCTACTTTTAGGGTTGATACTAACAAGCATACCAAATTCAAATAAAATCAGCCAAGGCAAACCCGTGGTCTTATGAATCAGATTCAATTAAGATCAGTCCTAGTAAGACAATGTAAGTAATACAGGATTTCAGTTTAAGTTAATAGGAAAGTAAGGATAGTTACCATGATATAACCTGCTATTTTTGGGTCAGATGTCTGTGCCCTCAAATCGGACATGACTAAACAGACCAGAACAAATTAAATTCAGAATAAATATGATGATAAGACTACTTTGTCTTTTAAATCCTGATACACTATTAACAATGACCTCTGCCTTTTTTTATAGTGTTTCAGAGCTGTCTATACTAAAGACTATAGCTTACCGTCTCTGCCTCATGTCTGCTACTCCACTTTTCTGCTATAATTTGTCCACCCTATTCCCTCATTCCACTGTCTGCCCCGTTCATTGAGGCCTCTCTGCCACTGTTGCTGGAATCCTGGTATCCCTTCATCTCTTTCTCTGGAATGTCCTTCAGCACTCTCTGTAGGGTTGGATTGGTGGCCACGAACTCCCACAGTTCCTCCTTGTCTTGGAAGCATCTTATTTCTCCATTAATTTTGAGAAAGAGTTTTGACGGGTATATGAGTCTTGGTTGCATATTATTTTCTTTCAGGACTTGGAATATTTCTCCCCATTCCCTTCTTCACTTAAGAGTTTGTGTTGATAAGTCTGTTGTTATTTTGATAATTTTCCCATTGTAGGTAATCTGCTTCATTTCTTTGGCTGCTTTTAATATTCTGTTCTTTTGGTGGATTTCTGGAATCTTGATTATTATATGTGTAGGCGTAGATCTGTTTTGGTTGTAGGTAGCTGGTGTTCTGTATGCCTCTTTTATCTGGATATCATTTCTTTTTGCTATACATGGGAAATTTTGCTTTAATATATCTGTGAATATTCTTTGTATTTCATTTTTGGTTGCTCCTGCTTCCTCACTCACATTCTTTATTCTTAAGTTATGTATCCTTTTGTCATCTTCTAGCTTTTGAATTGTTTCTTTCTGGTTCCTTGTTATTTTTAAGAGGTTTTTTCTTTCACAATCATATGTCATAAATCTCTCTTTAAGTTTCAGAAGGCTGGCTTTAGTTTTTGTCAGGGCATTTTGCCAGTGTTCAATGGAGTTTTTAGTTTCCTGGTAATCTCTTTGAATCTGTTTCATGTATTCTAAGTTATGTTTAAATTCTTCAGAAGTTTCTCTTTCTTTTCTGATTTCCTCAGTTCTTCCATCTGTGTTCTCTTGGGTGGGGCTTGTCATTTCTTTAATTAATCTCTATATCTTGCCTCACTTGGATCAGGAGTACAGCTTTAAATTCATCTATGAGGTCATGGAGGTATTTTTTAATTTCGGCTGATGCTGTGTCCAGTATTGGATGGTTACTGTGCTTGTTCTCTTCAGTATTTACTTCTCCTGGGCTTATTTTCTCATGTTGGGCAGCTGGAGTTTTTTTTTATTTTTATCTCTTGTCATGTTTCTGGTTTCTTTCAGACTGGAGTGTCCTGGGGGTCTCTGGCCCTCTCCGTATTGTTTAGGGCCTTTCAGAAGCGTGCTGACTTGAGTTTTTGCTGTCTTCCCGAATTTGCTGTTATCTGGGGTAGGCAGGGAAGCAGGGACAGTGCAGGCTAGCCTCTAGCCTCTGTGCCAGTCAATCGTAAATTAGGCTGTACTTTCTGGATGTCACAGAGTTGCGACTATTTTGTATCTGCTTATTGGGCCCCAAGTAGAAGCTTGGTTCAGCCCCAGCAGATCTGCCAGTTCTCTCTGTGCCAGAAGCAGCTGACTAATGTCACCGTGGCACAGGGTTCTGCCCATCCCAGCTGTTTTCTTCCAGACCTCTCTGTGCCAGGAGCACCAGGACAACGGGTCTGTCCAATTCCAAGATGTCTTCCACTTGTTCTCCGTATGACGCTGAAGCCAACATGGCGCCAGGCCCTGCCCAATTTCAAGATGTCCTCCACCAGGCCTCTCTACGCCAGGGGTGACTCAGTGATGTCACCTAGCCGCAGGTTCTGCCCAACTCTAAGATGTCTTCCACCAGACTCTCTGTGTTATTGATGTCGCTGTGGTGGTGGGCTCTGCCCAATTCCAAGATGTCCTCTAGCCAACCACAGCAGCTGCGGGACCCCGTCCCTAGTACTCACCAGGGCTCAGTGCCAGTCTTCCTCTTGAGTCTACTGCACACTACAATGCTTGCCTTCACTACGTTCCCGGCACAGCGTGGAATGGTCAGAAAACTGCACAGCGTTCAGCTTTGGAGCTCCAGAGCTTTTTACAATCTCCTCTGGTGCAGCAGGGCAGTCCTGGCTGCTTCTCAGGGTCCCGGGTCTCAATTTCCAGCAGTCACCAAAAGCCAACACAGCTTTTCCTGTTGGGTCAGTTTGCCGCATTAAAGGCACAGGATTTGCAGAGTCCCGTTATCAGCCTTCGGAGTCTCAGCACGACTTTAAATCCTCCAGCCTTGCTGTCTTGGTTAATAAGAATTGTTATCCATTCATCTGGCCCTTTCCATGTTGTCATATTCTAGCATCTAATATGATTTTTCCGGAGACACTCTCCGCCCAATCCCCTAGCAAGCCGCCATTTTTGAAAACCCCTATTACTGTATTTTTAAAGATGAAATCTGTTTAACATGTGATGTTTAGTAGAGTTTTTATCAAAGATGGTATTATTTTGTTCATTTCTATAATCTTTGTATTTTTAGTTTTTAATTGAAGTTAAATGCACCCGATCAGAAGCTCCTTGTAGTGCTGCTACCACATTGTTGGCAATGGTAACCCCTCACTTATCCCATCTTGTGTCCCCTACCTTGGAGGCACCCACTCTCAAGTATTTTTCTGATAATATTCTGTCTAACATGCTTAAGCTGGTATTTTATTTCTCAGTTTTAGACTTTACATTTTGGCCTTCTACTTTTGGATGAGATTTCTTTCACTGCCACCATTACCTCTACCTTATATTGGCCCCTTGTTCATCTTTCTTATGTTTTGTGTTGTGATCTTTTTGTTTGTTTGTTTTTGTGTTATGATCTTACCAGTTTTGATCCTAATTTTCTAATTTTGACTGGTTGCTTTAGTGCATATAGGCCTTCTAGGACCTTTTTTTTTTTTTTTTTTTTTTTTTTAATTTTATTTAAGGAGAACAAAAAAAAAAAACAGAAAAAGGGTACAAGTTATACAGAATTTCAGAAACAAATAAATAGTAGGAAATTACTAGTTAATAGATTACATATTGTCATCTTAGAAATATTTGTTCAAGTTACAAAATTACAGCATATAAAGTGGACATTTAAATAGTGAGACTGCAAACAGTTCTGTTCAGTGATCCAACAAAACTCAGTAATATGGTTATCTATCATACACTGAAATATACATGCAGTTAGAGCACTTTTTTTTCTAGCACCTTCTTTTTTTTTTTTAATTTTATTTAAGGAGAAAAGAAAAAAAACAGTGAAAGGGTACAAGTTATACAGATTTACAGAAGAAAAAAATGAACAGTAGGAAATCACTAGTTAATGGATTACATATTGCCATCTTAGAAATAATTGTTCAAGTCACAAAATTAAAGCTTGTAGAGTGGACATTCCAACAATGATACTGCAAACAGTTCTGTTCAATGATCCAATAAAACTCTGTGATATCATTTTCTATCTTATACACTTAAATATACATGCAGTTATATAGTTTAGAGCACTTTCTTTTCCTCTCTTTTGTATAATGACTATTGCACATTTTGGGTTTCATTGCTCCCACGGTTCTTACTGCTTTTTTGGAAGAGAGTAAAACCAAGTGTGACATAACAGACCAGAATTGGTCAGGTCAAAAGGGTGGACATAATAGATAATGTAAAAACATAATACAAGGTGATCAACAATGGTTACCATAATGCCTCCCGCTATCTCTAATAGAATTACCTATATCATTAGTTATAATACAATTGAACACAACAGTAAAGAACAAAACCGACAAAACCAAACCATTGGAAACATTGTAGGTATTCAAAAGTAGATAAAAGTCAACGAGAATGGGCGTTATAATGAATCTCATTATCTTCACAGCTGATGCCTAAACTTTCGAACCTGATACTATCCAGCAAAACAGAATAGGGGAACATCAGTCAAAAACAAGATGGTGAGAGTAATACAGGGCTTCAAATCGAGATAATATAAAGTCAAAGTGGGTTACTATAATACATCCTGCTATTTTTTTTCCTTTTAATTAAACGGATAAAAATAAAAAAGTAAATAATTGAGTGGAGATTGAGATAAAAGAGGGCATAGCAGCGAAACAGCGCAGATCAAAACATAACCATTTAAGCAGAATAGTGTTTCACTACTAGATAATTCCGACCCAAAAGTAGTTACCATATTGACTCTTTCCTTGAAGTCCTTGAGTACAACTTCGTATACTGTAGCATTAAGTATATCAAAACAATGTAAAACCTTTTAAGAGAATGACAGCATTACAGAGTATTTAGAATTGACCAACAGAAAGTGAACAATGGTTTCTGTATAATCTCCTTGTCTTTAAAAGGTTTTTGCTTATACTATCGTACATAATAAAATCCAGTAAGATATAACCTATTTAGACCATTGGAGACAGAAGAACAAAAGCTAGATGAGACTTCAAAACAAGATGATACTAAATCAGTATTACCTATTAAGATGTCATTTTAGCACCTTCTTTTAACCTCCTTGCATTTTCTTTTTTTTTTTTTTAATTTTAATTTTTATTTATTTATTTACGTTTTGAGACAGTGTCTCACTAAGTAGTTCAGATTGACCTTAAACTCACTATGTAGCCTGGGCTGACCTTGAACTCACAGGGATCTTCCTGCATCAGCCTCCTGAGTACTGGGAATACAGGCATGTGCCACCATACCTGGCTTTCCCTTCTTTTCATTTTGTTTCATTTCTGCAGTACTAGGGATTGAACCCGGGGCCTATATGCTGAGCTACATCCCAGCCCTTTTGAAATTTATTTGAGAAACGGTCTCACTAAGTCATTAGTTGCCTGACTCTAGTCATTAGTTGACTTGTGATCCTTGTGTCCCAGACTCCCAGAGTACTGGTATTACTATGTAGGCATGTACCCCCAAGGCCTGGTTTAACCTCCTTTCTTAGATTCCATGTCTCCTTTGTTTTCAGTTTGCTCCCTTGTTTTAATGCATCATATCATGCTTGTGGGGAAAGTTGCATGGAAGGACAATTTGCAACTGTTATACCTATTTCCATGTGTGTTCTGTTGTTGGCTTGGCTGGGTATATGTATAGCCCTAGCCCTAGTAAGACAGCACTGTGAAATCCAAGCAGCCAAACTCTTGAAAATAGAACACTGATAGCTAGGTTGGACCTGCTGGTATACTTCTGTATTCCCAGCTTTTTTGGAGGCTGAGGCAAGAGGATCACTTGAGCCCAAGAATTTGAGCTTAGCCTAAGCAACACAGCAAGACCCTGACTAAAATAGATAAGATTGATAGAGAAAGAAAGAAAGAAAAGAATTTTGACAGAAACTCTCAACAAAAGGTTTGGTCAGTCTCCAGAATGATCTGCTAATCTTTATAGAGAGTGCAGTCTGGCTGCCTGAATTTTAGAAGCCCCATGTGTAGAAACTTGGTAATGCCCTTTGTTCCCCAGTTTTAGTGGGGGTCCCTGCCTCTGGTGGCTCCTCACTTGCCCAGGCCATGAGTCTCTACTTCTCTGGAGAGCTGAGTACACAAAGTCACGGGTTTTTCGTTCCAGTTCCCACCTTTGGGCCTGCTAGAACAGTCAGCACTCACCACTGTCCCTCTGGTTGCTAAAGTTTATCATCCTTCTCTTCTGTTCTCTTTGCTGTGGGTAATATCAGAAAGAGTCCTTTTTTTTTTTTTTTTTTTTTTTTTTGATATATCAGTAGAGTTTCAGGAGGGGAAAAATGCTCATGTTTAGTTCGTTCTTTACCTCAAATTTCCCATAATGGTTAAGTGTAAGACATTAGTTAAATACATCTTAGAAATAAATATATTTCTCAAATTTTTACTAACTTGAATAAAACTTTATACAATTTTTAATTTTCAGAAAATATCAAAGATTATTTTAATTTTAGAGCTTCCCTGCCAAGGAAGACAGAACATTATTTTTTGAGACAGGTTCTTGCTTTGCTGTATAGTCCAGGCCAGCAGTAAACTCACAATCCTTCTGTCTCAGGTTCCTGAATACTGGGATTGCAGGTATGCAGTGCCATTCCTGGGTCATCCCTAAGTCTTTAGTGGAATGGCTTTTGCCAAAATGAGCCTCCCTATGTTGCGAACATCCAGAGCCAGGAATGATACGATTGTACACATTCACCAAATTCAAGCAGTCTGAGTGGGGAGCTCTTCCCTCCAGGGAAGAAAATACAATTCTCCGTTCATGCTGCTCTCCATTATCTTCTTGTTTTAAGTTGATAAGTAAATATTTGCAGTATACAGTGTGGTGTTTTGAAATATGTATACATTTTGGTGTTACCCTGCAACCTTGCTTGCCAGTAAAGCAGGACTGTGGCTTCCTTGCTTTTGTTTTTCCTATACAATTCTAGATCTTGCATTTTTTTCTTAGTCCACTGACTTCTGGAAAATAATGGAGCTCAGTAGGCCCTCTTTTCCATTTCCCAGCTCTGTGTTCTTTAGGGATTATGGTCCTTCCTGGTATCTGGTGAATTTCATTTCTTCTCCAATATATAAATAACAGTTGCCATTTCCTTTGAAAAATGAATCTAGCAGACACACAATTAATTAATAGAGCTTCTACATCGAGTCAGAGCAATGTTTTCATTGCCTCAGGCAGATCTCAGGCTGCATGGTCACCTATGTGCAGGACTGCCACCACCCCGGGGAGCAACAGGCGAAGGGTTCCCCAGAGGCCAGTTCTTGCAGGGCTAGGTAGCACTGGGTGCTGTCCTAGGTGAAGCAGCTTAGAAGTCTCTTGATGTGCATTAGCTCAAACTCTTTTTTTGATTTTTATTCCTGGACTTCATCAAGGGGTCCAGCTTTTATTGACTGCTACCATAACCATCAGAAATGGGAAGCAGAAGAAGTGGAAAAAGCTGAGGGTAAGCCTGTGCCCTGTTGCTACCACTGGCGCGCAAAGGCAAGGGGAATTCAGAGCCTCTGCAACCCAGTAACTAGGTAGATGGGAGAAGCTTACTGAAGGTCCCCTGTAATAGATGGCTGACTTCCTTCTGTCTCTTCTGTATTAAGAGGGTGAACCAGTTTCTTTGGCAGTGAGGGATTTTCTTTGTTTCTAAGGCAAAGAACACATACATCTATTTCATTAATGTATGGCTTAAGGTAAAAATTCTAGCTTTAGTTCCTTGTAGGTGGTTCTGAGAAGGATTATTGACAAAGGAAGCTGCAAGAGTACAGTATCTTAATGTATCTTGGGAGAAGAAGAAACTTGTTAAGTTTTTTTTTTTTGAGGGGGATATTGGGACTTGAACTCATATTTTTGAATAGAAATGAAATGTGTATACTTAGTCCTATTTTATTCACATTCCCTTATCTGAAAAGTGACCCTCGTCCCTCGACTTATCCACCGGCCTCTGATGTTACAGGAGACAAGTGTGAATGAGGGCAGGAGGGGAGGGCAAAAAGGTATGTTTCCTATAAACCAGCAGATTCATACATTGTAGTAAATGCTAAGAAGGGCTGGGGAATATGTGGATAAACATCTTGACCCAGCTATAGATTTGTATGGCCCAGAAACAGAAAGTTTTGTTGAACATTCTTAGTGCTTCCTAATAGTCTTTAATTTCTAAAATTTTTTTCAGTATTTCAAGGCAACTTTAGGATTACAGCCTGGAGATTCAGCTCTTTTCATCAATGGACTTCATATTGATTTAGATACACAGGATATATTCAGGTATGGATTTGTACTGTTCATGAGTTTTTGTAACAACACATGACAGTTCATGGTATGTTCAGATTGTCTTCCCTTCTTGATTCTGTATGCAGAGAAGGCTGGTGGCTTCCCAGCCTCACTGTGTGTGTGGGGAGATGGACCCTTATCATGCCACGCTGGGCCGACTGAATCATTTCTTGCCATTTTGTATTTCAGTGTGTTCTCAAGGCCAGAGGGCTTTTCAAGAATGCCCTTTTAAAGCATTTGTTTTTTTTTTGATTATAGAAACAGAAAAGAGCAGTATCTTCTACTTCTGAGGTAGTGTGAAGTAGGTTCAGAATGCAGTCTCTGATATCTCAGCTGGCATTAGTATTTGAATACCTATTTTTTTGTTCTTTAAATGTAGTTCAAGACTAAATAACACTGAATTGTCTTTATCATTGGGGGGGTAAATGGAAAAGAAGAATTCAGATTTTTTTGGAGCAGGGTGAGGAGACAACCTCACTATGTAGTCTAGCCTGTCCTTGGTGTAGAGGTGATCCTCCTGCCTCAGCATCCCAAGTGTTGCGGTTATAGGTGTGAACTACCATGCCTAGTTTAGAATTCATATTTTATCCTTGGATTTAAAATCAATACACTGACACTGAGGCTTCACAGCAGTAAAAATAAAGCTCTCGCTAATGCTTCAAAAGTAGTTAACGCTAAGATGTTTTCACCTTATTTTCGTTAAGGTTTTGTGCCCACTTATTGCTTCATAGATAGGTTATCCTCCTTTGTGTGTTAATGTGTGGTACTGGGGATTGAATTCGACCTCACAGTTGCCAGGCAGTAGCTTGTGCCGCTGAGCTGTATCCCCAACCCTGGTCATCTTTTTTATCTTTTTTGTCTCCTCGGCTATTTTCCCATACTTTTTTCTGTGGGACTATATGTGTGCCTGTGTCAGTTGATGCTGATATTGAAATGTACTTTAAACATAAAAAAATATTTTTAATGTGTTTTTAAGCTTTATTTTGGTTGGGGCTGGGGATTTAGCTCAGCGGCATAAGCGCCTGCCTTGCAAGCAAGCAGTCGTGAGTTCGATCCCTGGTACCAATAAAAAGGAAAAAGACAAAAACAAAAACAAAAACACTTTATTTTGGTATAACTATAGATTCACTTGCAGTTGTAAGGAATGGTTCAGTGATGGCACATGCCTCTAGTCTCATAATCTCATCATTCTGAAAGGCTGAAGCAGGAATATTTTAAATTTGAGCCTACACTTTAAGAACAACAGTCTCTTTAATTAATGGTGTTGGAAAAACTGGCTCTCCATATGCCGAAAACTAAAACTAGACCCATGCCTATCACCATGTACTAAATTAAAATCTGAATGGGTCAAAGATCTGAATATTAAAACAGAAATACTAAATATATTGGAAGACAAATTGGGTAAAAAACCTTGAAGATATAGGGGTAGGTAGAAAATTGATGAATAGGAATCAAACCGCATGGGAAATACTTCCCAGAATCAATAACTGGGATCATGTCTTACTAAAAAGTTTATGCATATCAAAAGAAATCTCCAGCACAGTGAAAAGAAAACCCAAAAACTGGGAAAAAGTCTTAGTGAACTGTCCCGCAGACAAAGGACTTCTGTCTAATACGTATAAAGAATTTTAAAAAATCAAAACCCCAGAATTCAAAGATCCAATCCAAAAATGGGCATCTGAGATGAATGTACAGTTCCCAGATGAAACAATACAAATGGCAAATGAATATATGAAAAAATGTTTATCATTATTACTCATTAGAGAAATGTAAATTAAAACCACATTGAAATTCCATCTCAATCCTGAAAGAATGGCCGGGATCAAAAAAACTACCAACAACAAATGCTGGAGAGGCTATGGTGAAAAAGGAACTAACTCTTCCTGCACTGTTGGTGGGAGTGTAGACTGGTGCAACCACTGTGGAGGTCAGTCTGGACATTCCTCAGAAAGCTGGGATTGGAAGTCCCATTTGACCCAGCTATTCCACTTCTAGACATATTCCCAGAAGAACTGAGAACATCATACCACAGTGATACATGTGCACACATGTTTATAGCAGCACAATTTGTAATAGCCAGATCTTGGAAACAACCTAAATATCCATCAACTGAGGAATGGATTAAAAAGTTGTGGTATTTTTATATACAGTGGAGTACTACTCAGCTATAAAGAATGATCACATTGAGATACTTGTAAATAAAGGGACACAGCTTGAGTCCATACTCATAAGCAAAATAAATCAAACTCACATGAATAAATACCGAATAGTCTCCCTAGTGTAAGAAATGGTAAGCATACATACAAGTATATGCTAATCATGATTCCCCATTATATGGCTTTGAAGCCTTATAATGTTTTCATTCATTAGTTGGAATGCTTTTATTCTGGGTCATTTGATTTTATTGTCTGTGAGGGTATGAACAGCTATTTTGAAGAAAACAAGACATTATAATAGCTAGTGCTGATTTAATATCATCTTGTTTTGAAGTCCTACCAAGCTTTTGTTCTTCTGTCTCCATCAGTTTTATCATGTTGTATCTTATTGGATTTTATTATATGTGATAGTATAAACAAAATTTTTTCTGGACAAGAAGATAATATAGTAACCATTATTTGTTTTCTGTTAGTTGGTTCTGAATACCCTGTAATACTTTCATTCTCTTGAATGGTTTTACACTGTTTTATTATGTTTGATACTATAGTGTATGAAGGTATACTCAGATATTTCAAGGAAAGAGACTCTATGGTAGCTACTGTTATGTCAGGTTGTCTTGTGGTGAAACACTATGTTGTTTAAATTGTTCTGTTCTGATCTGTTTTGTTATGTCCTCTTTTATCTTAATCTTTTTTAAAAATAAAAAAAAAAATTTGAGCCCAGCCCAGGCAATTTGACTCTGTCTAAAAATAAAAAAGTAGAAAGGGCCAGATGTGTAGCCCAATGTGAAGGCCCTGGAGTCTCTCCTTAGTACTGCAGATAGAACGAGACCATAAATTTGTATTTTACTTTTCATGCTTTTAAAAATAGCATGATTAATCTGCATTTCCTCTGTCTCCTTTTCCCCTTCTTTTTCCCCCTCCCTTTGTATCTATAACTGAAAAGTACAAATAAATAGGAGCCAGCAGCATGTTCTTTGTCTTGTGTACCTTGATAAGATGGAACATTTCCTATTTTACTTTCTCCTTTTACTTTCCACTGGCATTTCCATTGACATTAAGTTTGAACTGTGTTTTCCATGGGAATGAATTTTTTTAAAGTTTTTTCTGCTGCCTCCCTTTTACTGTTTTTGTTCCCAGCCTGTTTGATGTATTGCGGAATGAAGCCCGGGTCATGGAGGGTCTTCATAGACTGGGCATAGAAGGCCTTTCTCTGCATAATGTTTTGAAACTGAACATCCAACCCTCCGAGGCTGACTATGCCGTTGACATCAGGAGTCCAGCTATTTCAGTGAGTATTTTTGAGGGGTGGTCACAGGGCATTCTCCCTAGATATGTTTATTGTAGCTCCCTAATTTATCTTTTATGAGAATTAAGTTATTCCCATCATCTCTTTCATTGCCTTCAAAGGTTTCATAACCGCTTATGTGGAACTGTATTTAACAGAGTAGTCTTTTATGCTCTAGAAAGTTGAATTGTTTGGCTATCATGGTTAAAACAATGTTTTTTTCCTCTCCCATAAGATTTAGCTGAGTGCCTCTTAGCAAGGAGTGTTTAGTGTTTTCTCGCTTGCATACAGGTTTTGGATGATTTTGTGACAATTCTGACTCTCAAGCCTGGTATTAAAAAATAAGAGTTTTTAGTTAATACCATTTTTTTTTAAGGTTTCTATTAAGTTAACCAAGGTTCTGGATGCAACTATCATTTACAGGAAATATGAATGCGGAACAGTGTTTAAATGTCACTCTAGGACCAATCTGCAAAACATAGACTCTGGGAAAGTTATAGCAAAATGACTTGGTTTCTTTAACAAATAAATGTTGCAGTTGAGGTTGGGAAGGAGAGGGATAAGAAAGCTAACAATCAAAGATTAAAAGACACACCAAGCAGTGTCTCCTGAGATCCACGCCATGTTGAAACTTAGTACTCAGGGAAGCCAAACAAGCACCTCCCCTCCCTGGTAAGTGGAGGCAGGGTGGCAGACTGCAGCCCTTCCAGGGGGAGAACCAGCAGAGTCTCCTGAGATCCACGCCATGCTGGAACTTAGGACTCTGGCAAGCCAAGCAAGCACCTCCCCTCCCTGTAAGTGGAGGCAGGGTGGTGGACTGCAGCCCTTCCAAGGGGAGAACCAGCAGAGTCTCCTGAGATCCACGCCATGCTGGAACTTAGGACTCTGGGAAGCCAAGCAAGCACCTCCCCTCCCTGGTAAGTGGAGGCAGGGTGGCGGACTGCAGCCCTTCCAGGGGGAGAACCAGCAGCAGCTCCTGAGATCTGCACCATGTTGGAGCTGAGGACGCTGTGAAAACAAATGACCATCCTGCCTCCCTGCTTAGCAATAGTGAACCTACTGCTACATGGCCTAGAGTCTAATATCCCACTTCCCTGATCCTCCTTCTCCTTGTGTGTCCCCCGCCCCCCCATTAGCAAATGGGAACCAGAAATCTGGGCATCTCCTGGGAGGTTGACCATAGCAAATAAGGGGGACTTCCTTCTACCATTTCTTTGAAGGCAAATATTTTTATTACTGTTTTGTTCTTTTCTGATTAATGGTACTGCTCTATTCAATATTCTGTTTTGATAAGTTCTATAGTGTTCTATATTTCATCTCATTTTGATATACGTGATTGAAAGAACAACTATTATAAAGATAACAAAATATACTGTGATACCTATACTGTTATCCCGTTAACTTGCTGTGAAGTTCTGTACCAATTTCACTGTACGATCTTAGTTGGCTTTATTCTGATTTGTTCTGTTGTATACTTTAAAAATAAAAAAAAATAACAAAAAAATTAAAAAAATAAAAAACACACCAACCAAACTTTGACACCGATTCAAACAAGAGATGAAGCTACATCTTCAGCTGTATTTTATTTTTATTTTTTGAGACAGGGTCTCACCAGGTACTGCAGGTTGGTCTTGAATTTTCTTGCTTCAGCCTACAGAATGCTGGGATTGTGGGCATCTGCCACTATGCCTAGCTTTATTTTTTATTTTGAAATGGTCTCCAAATTGCTTGGGCTGGACTGAAACTTGTAATCCTTTTGCCTCAGCCTCCCAGAGTGCCGGAATTACACACATGTATTACCACATTCAGTATAAGAAAGCTGGGCAGGTGCAGTTCTGCGTGTCTGTTATCCCAGCTACTTGAGAGACTGAGGCAGGAGGATCACAATGAGTGTGAGTCCAGCTTGAGAAAACTAATATCAGTAGTCTCCCTCCCTTGGCTTGTTAGATCAAGAGCTTTTGTGTGTTCATTGCTATGTCCTTAGTGCCTATGGCAACACCTAATAGAAGCCTTCCTCAGAATCCTTCTTAAATAATTGAGTACCTGTAGCACTCCTCTTCCTTTCTTTAAATCTCTTAATTTGTGACCTTACCAATCAGTAAAGGCTTTCCTGAAGATCCTATATAACATAGCACCTTTCCTCCACAGACTGTATTAATGTATTCTCTTTCTCCAATTTTTTAAAAAAAAATTTTATTTCAAAGAATAAAACAAAACAGAACAATGCAAGCAACACAAAATTTCACAAGACAACAGGACATCAATAGTGGCTACTATAATGTCTCTTGTTTTCTTTGAAATAGTTGACTATACCTTCATATCCAATAATATCAAACATAACAAAATCGTATAAAACCATTCAAAAGAATGAAAGCATTACAGGACTTCAAAACCACATAAGAGGAAATAAACAATGGCTACTATAATATCTTATTTTCCTCTAAAATGTTTTCCATACCATCATATATAATAAAATCAAATAAAACACAACAGGCTAGAACCAATCAAAACAAAAGAATAAAAGCATGATAGGACTTCAAAACAAGATGATAGAAAATCAGCAATGGGTACCATAATGTCTTGTTTTCTTCAAAATAGTTATTTACACCATCACGTAATAAAATAAGACAAAACAGAATAAAACCAATTGAATGAATGAAAGCATTGTAAGACTTCAAAACAATGTAATAGGAAACTATGATTACCATAATATATATCATTATATTCAAAATAGCTGCCTCTACCATCTGACAGAATAAAATCTAACAAAACAAGACAGAACAAAGGCAAACCTAACAAAATTGTTATAAAAAAAAAAGTTCAAGACAAAGGAAATTAACAGTAGTTTTTGCCTTTCCCTCCCAGGTGTTTCCTCCCCTATCATTCTTATAATGACTGTTTTGCTTTTGGATCCCATTAATTCCTTCTGTTTCTTATACTAGGGTTCATGCGCATGAGTTCAAACTGTTTCACCCCTGAGCATGACTTCCAGTTGCGTCCATTTACCTGCAACAGCTTTGAGATTATTCTTCTTTATAGCAGTTAGCTTTCCACTGCATGGAAGTACCATATTTTTCTTATCCATTCTGAGACTGATTGGCAAGTTACTACTGCTTTTTTTTCTGGTCTCCTGTCACATGGAGCAACTGTTTTCTCTCCTTTAATTTTCATTCTATGAATTTCCTTTCCAGTTGAATGTGTTTCTTGTATACATATCGATGGATCTTGTTTCTTGATCCACTCTCCCTGTGTTTTTTTATTGCTGACCTGAGGCCATCTACATTAATGGTTACAACCAGCACACATTGGTTTGTCTCTGCCCTGCCATCCTCCTGTTGTTGGCCCTCCACTTTTCACCTTCATTCAGTTGCCTGTCTTGTTTGGCAATCCTCCTCTGCTGCTGTTCCTGGAACCATGGTCATCTTTATCTCTCCATAGAATATCCTTTGGCACTCTATGGCTTGGTGGTCGTGAATTCCTTCTGTTGTTTTTTATCATGGAAGTATCTTGCTTTTCCATTAATTTTGAAAGATAGTTTTGCAGGGTGTATCAGTCTGGATTGAAAGTTATTTTCTTTAAGGACTTGAAACACTTCATTCCAAACTCTTGACTTAATGGTTTCTGTTGATAAGTCTGCTGTGATTCTGATTGGTTTTCCTTTATAGGTGATCTATTTCTTTTCTCTAGCAGCTTTTAATATTCTGTTCTTCTGCTGAATTTCTGGAATCTTGATTATTGTATGTCTGGTTGGAGATTTAGTTTGGTTATGACTAGTTGGACTCCTGTATGCCTCACTTTCTGCATGCCAGATCCATTTGCCATGTTTGGGAAGTTTCCTGCTGTAAATAGCATTTTAATTTCATTTGTATTGACTCCTGCTTCTTCACAGACACATATCATTAAATTATGCTTCTTTTGTCATCTTGCAGCTGTTGAATTGTTTCCTGATTCCTTGTTATTTTTAAGAGATCTTTCATGATCACTAGCTGCAATCCTATCTTCAAGGTTTGAAAGTCTTATCTTCAATCTCTTTCAAGTGGTTTTGCCAGCCTTCAATTGACTTTTCAATTTCCTGGATATCTCTTTGAATCTGTTTCATGCATTGTAATTCCTTTCTATATTCATTCAAGATTTCCATCATTTTCCTATGCTTCTCTTTTTTATCAATGTCTATTTTAGATACTCTGAGCAATTCTTTCAGCATGTTTGTGATTTTTTTCTTTTATCTGAGAAATTATTTCTGATTTGACTGCTTTTACAATCTCATGAAGTAGTTTCTTTACTTCAGTTGCTATCCTCTTGGACATTTCAGGTGTGTGAGTTCTGTTTTCTTCTATGACTATGTCTCCCAGACTTGTTCTGTGTAGGCTGGACGTCTGAGATTGCCATTCGCTCCATCCTCTTGACAGTCTCCTGGGTTCCTCCCAACAAGCTGATTGTGAGGCCCCCAGGTACTTCCCATGTTGGCTGCCCCTCCACAGCATAGGGGAATGGGACAGCCACCTGAGTTCCTCTAATCCCAGATTATAGGGAGGTAGCAGGACTTGGAGAAGGCTTCTCCAGACCTGTGCAGCTGCACTGGGGCTACCCTGATGATCAGGAGTGTATGGAGGTAGGAATGCTTCTCTTAGCCTAATGTGTCTACACTGGGACTCGCATGATGGTGTGTTTATCTGTTTCCACTGCTGGGTGATGGCTGCCCAAAGGAATCTAGAACCTCCAATGGTGGCCTACAGGTGCACAGAGCTTATCTTGCTGTGTGTCCCTGCTAATGCTGGCCTCCCAAAGGAAAGGGCCTTCCAGTGGTGGTGCCAGGCAGGCAAAGGTGTATCTTCTGGCTTTCTCTGCCAACACTGGCCTCTTGTTGTCTGCCCTGCTCAGTGAGCCCCTTCTGCCACTGTTTGGCTGGCCAGTGGCTGTTGGAGTGTGTGCAGGGGCAGGGCTGGCTCTCTGCCTCCTAGCTGGTTACCTGCAGGGATCTGTGATGATGGTTGCCAGAGTGCATGCAGAGGGGTGGGGCCAGAGCTCCCACCATGGCTGTTAGAGTACACCAATTACCAGTGGGGGATATAGGGGATGGCTGTTGGAATACACACAGGGGTGGGGCTCAGTCCAAATAATTTCCACAAGTCTACACCCTGCTAGGTGTTACTGGAGGGAGCCGCCTGCAGTTTTGCTTCTGGGTTTATCCAGCCCGACTCCAAAATGGCTCCCAGCCAATTGCTCTCTCCATGAGATGACTGAGCCCTCTGCAGTCACCACCAGCCAGTATAGTCCTCTGTGTCTACCACTCCTCTCCACCGCTGTGACTTTTAGGGGCTTCCGGGCTTGCCAGCCAACACAGTCACTGTGACCATGCGCCCCCAGGTTCCAACAGCTCCTCTCACATAGTGGGTCCGGCTCTGGGTGAAGGCACTGTCAGCTACTGCCTCCTTCTTCATTTAAGTTTTTCTTTTTTATTCTTTCTGTGGGCTTCAGTTCTCACTTGAGGTTCTTGCTGGGTCCACGGGACCCACTTTCTTCCTTCTTGCCTTCCCCACGATGCTGTATTCCAGCATCTGGACTGCCTCTCTCAGAGAGGCTGTTTACTCTGCTGCTTACTGCTCTACCATCTTCCCCATGCTTAACAACCTTTAAAAGTAAGACTTTAGCAATGATCTCTCTGAGCCTGCTTTTTTGGGGGAAGGGAAGAGTTGTAAGTGTTCTACATGATTTTTTTGAACTTTCTTCATCTGTAGAACAGAACGTGGGTACAGTACCATTGGGGGCACTCATGGTAAAATGAGAACAGGATGGAACTGATGTGGCTAGCTTACCCTGGGTACTTGCAATTTTATGAAGGGATAAATAATGCAGAATGTAGGTGATCATCAGTGGAGTTCTTACTTTGTATTTTTTGATGAACACTATTAAATCATTCATTTTTTCTATTAAAATGGTTTTGCTGGGCTGGGGGTTTAACTGCTTGGCAAACTTGAGGTTGTGAGTTCAATCCCTAGTACCAAATAAATAAATAAATAAATAAATAAAGTGGTTTTGCTTTAGAGAGTAAAGATACCATAAATATGACTTTAGTTTCTGTAAACTGATTAAAAACCATGTGACTTATCACCATACTTCTTCCTAAATAATCATTTTATCTTAGATTTATTGGTATTTTCAGACAGTAATTTTTTTATTGATTTTGTTTGTTCACATTTGCTTTATTTTCTTAAAGTTTATTGTGTTATGGTTCTACTCAGTTTCTGTACCTTTGGAAATGGTCTTGTTTCTTATAATCTTGGTAAGATAATTTACCCTTACCGCTTTACCACAGATTTCAATGAGTGTGACTAAGGCTGTCTTCTTTCTTTTCAGTGGGTCAACAACCTGGAAGTTGATAGCAGATACAACTCGTGGCCTTCCAGTCTGCAAGAGCTGCTTCGCCCTACCTTCCCTGGTGTCATCAGGCAGATCAGAAAGAACTTGCACAACATGGTGAGTGAGCACCTCAGTACCTGCCCAGGAACCTTGCTTCTCCTTTGCCCTCTCCCTGACCTGTGATATGTGTGCAGCGTACACCTGTCCTTTAGCTGCTTCCTTTGTTCATTCCCACCCACAAAATGCTCCGTCAGAAGGATTTCTGAGGGGGGTGGTCCTCAGAAATGAAAATTCAAGAAGGCAGTAAGGCAGTCTTCATTTTCCAAAGTGGGTGAATTTTTTTTTTAAATTAAATAATTTTGTAATGAATAAGGGAGAGGATGAGATAAAAGGGGGCATAACAACATAACAATACAGGTTAAAGCATGACACTTTCAGCAACCTAGTGCTTCACCACCGAATAACCCGACTTAATAGTAGTTACCATAGTGTCTTTTTCTTTGAAATACTTGAATATAACTTCATATGCTATAGCATCAAACATATCAAGACTGTGTAACACCATTCAAGTAGATGAAAGCATTGTAGAGTATTTAGAACCAGCTAACAGAAAAAAATCATCAATGGTTTCTATTATTATCTCTTTGCCTATAACAATTTTTGTTTATACTACCACATACGATAAAATCTAGCAAGTTACAACATGATAAAATCAATGGAGACAGAAGAGCCACAGTTTGGTGTGGCTTTAAGACAAGATGGTATTAAATTGGCACTAGCTATTATTATGTCTTATTTTCTTCAAAGTAGCTGTTTATTGCATCACAGGCCATAATATCAAACAGCCCAGAATAAAGCCATTCCAATTAATGAGTGAAAATTTCATAAGGCCTCAAGGCCATATAATGGGGAATCATGGTTATCATGTACTTTTATATATTTGATTCATTTCCTACACTAGGGAAACTATTTGGAGTTCACAGATGCGAGTTTGATTTAGTTAACTTAAGAGTATGGTTTCAAGCTGCGCCCATTTATTGATAAATACCTCAATGTGATCCTTCTTTATAGCTGAGTAGTACTCCATTGTATAGAAGTACCACAGCTTTTTTATCCATTCCTCAGTTGATGGACATTTGGGTTCCAAGATCTGACAATTACAAATTGTGCTGCTATAAACATAGGTGTGCATATATCACTTTGGTATGTTGCTTTCAGTTCTTCTGGGAAGATGCCTAGAAGTGGAATAGCTGGAACAAATGGGACTTCCAATCCCAGCTTTTTGAGAAATCTCCAGACTGACCTCCATAGTGGTTGTACCAGTCTACACTCCCACCAACAGTGTAGGAGAGTTCCTTTTTCCCTACAGCCTCTCCAGCACTTGTTGTTGTTGGTTTTCTTGATCCTGGCCATCCTTTCAGGAGTGAGATGGAATCTCAGTGTGGTTTTAATTTTCATTTCCCTAATAACCAATGATGATGAACATTTTTTCATGTATTTATTTGCCATTTGTATTTCTTCCTCTGAGAAGTGTGTATTCATCTCAGATGCCCATTTTTGGATTGGGTCTTTGAATTTTGGGTGTCTGATTTTTTTTTAATTCTTTATATATTTTAGACAAAAGTCCTTTGTCTGAGGGGGAGTTCACTAAGATCTTTTCCCAATTTGTGGGTTTTCTTTTCACTATGCTGGAGATTTTTTTTGACTTACCTAAACCATTTAATAAGAGGTGATCCCAGTTATTGATTCTGGGAAATATTTCCCGTGCAGTTTGAGTCCTGTTCAAAGTGGGTGAATTGATAACACTTTTTTTTTTTAAATCAAGGTGGTTGTCTTAGTTACTTTTTTATTCATCGCTGACACAGAATACCTGAAGCCCAAAGTTGGGGGAAAAAAATGTTGTATTTCTTACAGTTTTTGGAGGTTTCAGTCCATACTCAGTTGGCTCCAAGGCAGGGTGGCATCGCTGGGCTGCAGTTCATGGCAGCTGCAAAACAGCAAGCTCGAACCAGCAAAGAGCAACACACACCTTCTTTCTGCTGTTACATCACATCCTGGCTCCACCCCTGTGTGGGTATAGCACTGACACCATCAATCCAAGCACTAGACAATGAACCAATCACAAATGCACAATGAAAACTCATGAGGCTTGGGGGCCACAGATACAAACCATGACATTTCACCCCTGGCCCCCAGGACTCATGTACATCCTTCATACGAAAGACATTTTAGTCTTTGCCAAAGTCCTAATATAGTTTCAGTATTGCTGAAAAGTCCAAGTCCCAAGTCTCCTCCAGGATCTATGGCACACTCTTTAACTGTAACCCCCTCTACAAATGAAACAAGTTTAAACGTTTCTGAAATGCAGAGGCACAAGATAAACATTACCATTCCAAAAGTTACAAACAGGGGAATATAAAACATTGGAAACAAAGCAAGTCCCACATCCAGCAGGATGAGCATTAAATCCTAGAGTTCCATGGTCAGCATTTGAAGCAATCTGGTTACACTCTCCCAAAGGCTTGGGTGATTCCACTTCCATGGCAATTCCAGGGATTTCAGCTCCCGCAGCTTTTCTCTTAAATCCTCTCTGCTCGCTTTTTGCAGCTTTCCTTAGATCATCCACGTTCCTGGCTTTTCCAAACTGCTGGGGTCTCCACTGCACCTTTGGCTTCACCCTTACATCTTCACAAATTGCCCTCTCAGGGGCACACTGCTTGGCCTCCCAGGCCCTTTGTAATTGAGGTGGAAGCCGTCTTACCCTCAGAATTTGTGCGTTTTCCTTGCACCTAAAATCAGCACCATGTGGATGCTGCCAAGGTTTGCTGCCAGCTGGAGCAGTAGCCAGGCTTTTCTTTTTCTTGGCTATAGGAGTCGAATGCCTCGACCGTTAAGCTCTGTTTACCTGATTGTGAGGAAAGCTTCTCTATGTTGCTGCCATTCTGGAACCTCATGTGACCTCTATCACCATTCTGGAACCTCATGTGACTTCTGTCGCCATTCTGGAGCACCATTGCTCTGCAGCTTTCTCCTCTGAGCAAATTTTTTATCTTCTGTTTCTCCTCAGTAATCAAAGTCTCAACTGCATCTTTATAATCCACAGCATTCCTGGAATTTTCCACAGCATTCCTGGAATTTCCTTCTGGCCTAAGTCACAGTATTGCAAATTATCCTGCCGGGCTCTTTGTTCTTGATTTGCAACATAAAGCTGACTAAAAGCCCCCAACAATAGCCATGCCACAGCCTCAATATTGGAAGCTTTGAAATTTCCTTTTCTAAATTAATCAGTCCATTGCCCTTTGTTTCAGTCTCAGGCAAAGTCTCTGGGCAGGAGCAAAATGCAAACAAACTTTCTGCCAAGCCATAACATACCTGGTGGGGAGTCCCAACAACCAATGCAGTCCTTCTTCCCAGCAGAAACCTCCCAAGCCTGGTCTTTAGCATGAGGCTTTCTATCAGTGTTCTGGTCTCCTGAGCTCTGACCAGAATCTCCACTACAGAACAGCCTAGGCAGCTCCAGCTCTATGCATCTAGACAACATATCTGAACCTTTCCAAATTCTGCCCACAAGCCATTTCCAAAGCCTCTTGAAAAACATGGTCAGGTATAGTCACAGCAAACAACCCCACTCCTCGGTACCAACTCTATCTTAGTTACTTTTTACTCATCGCTGAGACAAAATACCTGAAGCCCAAAGTTGGGAAAAGAAAGGTTTATTTCTTACAGTTTTTGTAGGTTTCAGTCCATATGCAGTTGGCTCCAAGGTAGGGTGGCACAGCAGGGCCGCAGTTCATGAGGACTGCAAACAACAAGGCAGAAACTGGCAAGAGAAAGAGACACACTTTCTTTCAGCCATTACACTGTATCCTGGCTCCACCCCTATGTGGGTGTAGCACTGACACCCTCAGTCCAAGCACTAGACAGTGAACCAATCACAAATGCATAACGCAAATGCATGAGGCCTGGGAAGCCACCAACATAAAACATGACAGTGGTGTAGTAGAAAAATGGATGTCAGGAATTTGGAATGTTGTCCCCATGTTACCAGCCTGCATCAGTGAGAAATTGCCCGTTGCTAGGATTATTTCCAAAAGACGAAAAATATTAACAAAAGATGAGAAATATAAAATAAAAAGCGGCCTTTATTCTGAAAACACGGAGAGAGATGACCGGCACCCCCACCGCTGGCGTCTGGTGATCTCTCTGGTGGACACGTGGCGTGGGGGCCTGTAAATAGACTCGGTTTGGGGTGGAACCTAAGGCGGGCATCAGGGATACACAGGTAGCCCATTGGTCCTAGGTTTGGTGCCATATGTAAATTTCCAGGGGCGGGAAGATGGCGTCACAGGTAACTTCCTAGGGGAGGGGGAGATTGGGGCTTCCTGCTTCTGGTTGTGGCTTTCCTGGCTACAGTGTCCTATCTGGGCCAAAACCCTTTCACCCGTCACTAACATATTCGTTGACCATAGAAGAAAACAGCTGCTGTTCGTGTAACTCCTCTTTTATGTGTTTCAAAATAGAAAAAGTTGGCTTCATGTGCAGTTTCTACTGGCTGAGGGACATTTGAATAAACATCATTTCATGGATTCGTTTCTCTCTTTCTCTTTGCAGGTGTTCATAGTTGATCCTGCACATGAACACACAGCAGAGTTGATTACCACAGCTGAGATGTTCCTCAGTAATCATATACCTCTAAGGTAACACTGGTACTGATTTGATGATATTTCTAATTTAGCTGAGGTTTTGTTTGTTATTCTGAGGTACAAGTCTGGTGCTACTGAATTGCAGGATAATTAATAGTGAGCACCATTAATGGCAGTTTTTTATTTTCTGGTTGGTATAAGTTTATTTTCAATGAATAGAGGCTTACCACCATTGAATTATTAATAAATAGCTGTGTAAACGTAGTTTGTGGTCTCAGCTTTCTTCTCAGTGGAAAAGAATTTTCCTAGATGAGTGTCCACATCACAAAACCCTTTTCCACTTTGAACAGTGATACATAGCTTTGTCAATAGCTGTTATTACACTGTCAAGGACTACATTTACGTAGTTTATACTTATTTTACTTCCCATGTCAAATCTACTAAGAGGACATCAGTTCAGTGGGTTTCTTTCCACTTTTTCAGTAGCAGTTTTCTTAAGGTATTACATGTAAGTGTTAAGATATTTTCACTTACATTCTCAAATAATTCTGATAATTTTACATTGACAAATATGAAATTTTTAGAAATTAGGAAAATAACTTTTTAGCCAACAAACTTTACTGTGTATTCCATGTCCCATATTGAGCTAAAAGCTATGGATGTTATATAAGCTATGTTCCTACCTTGTCAGAAGGAGTCCCTGCATACTTTTAAACATTTTAAAAAGTTCAAGCCTAGCCTGAGCTACTTTGCAATTTAGCTAGACTGTATCTCAAAATAAAAAGATAAAAAGGGTTAGAGATGTAGCTCACTGCAAATGCCATAGTTCCTAATACTGCAGGAAAAAGAGATACTTGACCAAGTGTTGATTATGTCCAACTAACTGTAAGTGCTTTAGGATCCAAGGAGATAAACTATAAACTAAGAGGGCTGGGCACATTGGCTCAAGCCTTTTTATCTGAGCACTCGGAAGGCTGAGGCAGGAGAATAGGAGGGTTGGTATGAGTTTGAGGCTAGTGTGGGCTCCACAGTGAGTTTAAGGCTAGCTTGAACTCTACATAGTGAGACCCTGTCTCAATAACAACAAAATTCTGTAACTATAAACTGATACATTTTGGAAGCATGACTTTCATGAAGTTGGATTTCAGAGAGGCTTTGAAGAAAATAGAGGGTTTTAGTGCTGAAAAAGCAGAAATTTGGAGTTCAATGAAATGTTTTTCATACAAAAAGCATAAATGTCACCTAACTGTGTGGAGAAATAAATTACCAAGATGCTACATTTAGAGCTGTTTTTGATTAAAGGAGCTATCACAGAGCCTACTGTAGATAGTGGGCAATAATGAGATTTTGATTAACTGGTCTGGAGGGAGGAGAGGAGCATATGGTCTTAGGCTGCGCTGGAGTTCTGGGCCACAGAGAGGCTTGCTGTGAGCAGGCGGAGGCTGGGCTAGGCTGCAGTGCTGTGCGGGCTATGGGCCTTGGCTGTCAGCAAGAAGTATCTACCATTGGCACCTGGCAGAGAGGCCCCAGGGATTGGATGCCTGAAGTTTGTGGCTTTCTCTTGGCTATGGCTTCTGCTGTAGGCCAAGTGTTTTTTCACTTTCCTGTAACCTAAAATTCTTAATGCTGATGTTAGGTCTGGCAGTTCCTTCTCTTCTGTTTATTTTTACAGTCTGAATATTTTAATTTCCCTTATTTAAAAGCAGAATCAAATTTCCACCTAAAACTATAGGAACATCCTTCATGTCAGCAAAAGAATCTCTTAATGGCATGGAAATAGATTACTTGAATAGTAAGAAAGCCTCAGCTATTTTGCGAACCTACTTTCATTTTATAAGTGACGCATGTGCTTTTGCAGCCAGGTTCAGGTGGGATGTGCCATGCACTTAGCACTCAGGGATAGTGTTCTTTTAGCTGTAGTCATAAGGGATATGCAAGCATGCCATCCTCTTCAGCTGGCTGTACTCTTTGAGATGTTTCTTTTTCTTTTTTCTGTTCCCTCTCCAGAATTGGTTTCATCTTTGTGGTTAATGACTCTGAAGATGTTGATGGGATGCAGGATGCTGGAGTGGCTGTTCTCAGAGCATATAACTATGTGGCCCATGAAGTAGATGAGTATCATGCCTTCCAAACTCTAACACATGTATGTTTTTATTCAAAATGGCAATTTTTAAAAAATTTAACTTACTATAAAACAGTAGGTGCTAAGAGAATTCTGTATTTCTGTAGAGAAAAAAATATTTATGTAAAACTGTTGTATTTTACAGGTTGTTTCTACTTTAGCTATTCACTGATATTAACAATAGATTGTTGTAATTTCAGTTAGATAAGGTTCCTTAGGAATTAGGACATAGTTTTAATATCATAAAATTCTTGATGACTGAATTCTTGTTTCTTTGTTTTAACTGAAAATTCTGAAATGTCTGATTTGTGATATATTTAAGGCATTTACTTAAGTTCAGTTTTCCTTGTTTTTTTTATTTTGCTATGTTTGAATTTAGACGACTTTACATGCATCAGTTCTTTCATTTTCAGATTTAATAGTAATTTTAAAAAACATCTTTAAGTAATTGATTTTGCTACTTCACTCATAAAGACGATGCTAGTCTGGTTGATTTTCTGGTTGATATGTATTGTTTAGAGATTTGTTTGGGGCATCTTTTGTTACTTAGAATGTGTATTTATTTATCTGGTAAACATTTATCAAAAGCCACACTTTGCACCATGCCTGATCTTAGCTCTGGGGATACAAAGACTAATGAGACTTCCTCCTGCCCTCTAAAACCTCATAGCCTTGCAGGGCACATGTTGAGATAGATATCATGCAGTGTGGAAAACACCACAGCTGGCCTCACTTCACCTGGGCATGGCCTTGGGCCTTTCCGTGGAGTGCACAGTTGCCCATGCATAGTCCCAAAGGAAATTGGAAGTCACTGCAGAAGAGGCCAGCCAGCTTGCAGGTTGCCAGGGTGGGTGAGCAGGGGATGGTGAGAGCAGAATGGAAGGGAAGCTAGTCCAGGAGGCCACAGAAGGGTGGGCAGTCAGGGTACAGGGTACAGGAGTGCACGAAAGTGGATCTGATGAAGGAGAGAGTGACAGGCAGTCTAGTGAATCAGCTGCTGCAGTCACCTCCATGAAAAATAATGAGAGCATCCACAGGACTGTGCAAAATGAAACAGCTCAAGAGAAGTTACTTCACATCATAAGTAAAGAAAGACTGCTCTTTAGAGCTTTTACTTTGTCTTAGATATGTGAATAAAGAAAAGGATAATATGGATATTTGCTTCCTTTTCTTGCAAAAGTACTCTCTGTAAAAAATTCAGATATTCTTAAAATTTCTCTGCCTCACTTCTTTCCCTTCCCTGATTCTCCTTAAAGCTGGCCATCGCGAGCGGTTGCCTTGTATCCTTCTAGAGATTAAGCTATATGTGTACCGGCAGTTTTGTTACTTGTTTTTGATTTGTTATAAATAGGGATTTTGCCATATACTGTACTGTAGACAGCCCACTCCAGCCTCATTGTGGTCCAGAGGAGTCCACATTTGTAATCCCAGGGAAAAGTTACTGGAATTTCAATAAGTAAATTCCAATCTACCATTTCCAATGAAACCTGTGACAAAAATAGAGATAGACACGTATCTGTAGTTGTGGGGATCCTAGGGGTCCTTAATCTACTTGGAACAATAGCTATTTGGAACAAAAGCCTTGAGTCACGGCTGAACCTGGGTTTTATTAATTTGTAAAGAAAAAAGTGACTCAGAGTTGAGTGACTGAGAGAATGGTGGGAAGTACATGAGTACTGTGAGCTCTGCTATGTAGGTGGCACAATAGTACCTCTGCAATATGCAGACAGAATTGTGTAGAAAGAATACAAATTTCCATAGCAGGTAACTCCTAAGTTTGGAGGAATCTGCATAACAGTCTGAGCAGGTGTCTTTGTGTTTTTGGTTGGTTCCCTCAGCTCTGATGTCTAGCTTTCCTGCCTTGAGATGTCATGGGCTCTTTTCTCAAGGCTCAGTCTCAGCTGACATCGTAACATCTCTCATTCTGGCTCATTGCTTAGTTGTAAGGACCTGTAGGCAGCACATCACTTTGCTTCAAAGGCTACATGTCAGTGCTTCAGCCAGACCCATTTGCATTGCTTAAAGCAAGTTGATGGGATGGAGTATTATCTTAGCCATCTCTGTATGTATCAGTACACAGAATCAGGGCCAGGTTTAGCCAACATAGAGACAAATGGTCCTCTTTCAGGAAGAGCTGTCCTGGTGGTCCTCTACACTGTATTTTTCAACTTTTCCTCCTAAACATCACGGACATTTTTTTTTAAATGTAGGAAAACTTATTGGAGAAAAGGAATGTGGAATAGAAATAGGGACTAAGAAATAGGAATAGCTTCAGAGAGATGAGAGGGGTCCTAAATGGGTTGCCAACAAGCCCATCTCTCAAAGGAAGTTTCATAGGACAAAATCATGCAGTGGGTGCAACATGGGTCAAAATTATGATCAACCAATAAGATTGCAAATTGTGTTGCTTAGGTAATATTGATCTAATGGTAGCAAGAGTACATGGGTGACATCATTAACCTTCATTTTGATAAACTATAGTTTTGGTCTTACCTTTAGTCTTAGTAGTCTTAGTATTAGTGGTCTTAGTTTTAGTCTTACTAGGTGGGAAACGATGGCCCACCCCTAATGAAATAATGGAAACTCTCAAAAGGATGATACCAATAATCCCAAGCCTCTGTTCAACCCTTAGGGTAGGGAAATACGTAAAACTAGCCATTGTGGCTTTTTTTTTTTGGTACTGGTGATCGAACTCACAATCTTGTATTTGCCAGGCAGGCACTTGTGCTGCTGACCTTGGCCATTGTCACTTTAATCTTCAGATTGCACTCCCAGTCACAGTCGTGATGGATTCTCATCTTTTACATTGACTCTCTGAGGACTCAACCCTGTCTGAATGCCCAGTATATTTCTACCTAACCTAACTATTTATAATATTCCCCTCTCTAAGGTATCCCTGACTGATTAGGGGAGAAGGGGCATAGTTTCCATCTAGCTGCTTCAAGTGGTGGTAGGGGAAGCCACAGTCTGGAGGCTTCTCGAAAGAACTAATCTGGTGGACCTTGGCTAGAAGTCCGGTTGTAGTGTAGTAGTTAGGAACTCTTTTTTTTTTTTGTCTTTTTCATTTTTAATCAGTACCGGGGATCGAACTCACGATCGCCTGCTTGCAAGGCAGGTGCTTATGCCACTGAGCTAAACCCCCAGCCCCGCAGTTAGGAACTCTTTACAAGGTCAATCTGGTAGATCCCAGAAAAGGAATCTGGCATGTTAGTCCTGGGTTCCATCTGCGTGGTCACTTGGAATTTGGCAGCCTCTAGGCTAGAATAGACAAAATTTCCAAGAAATTAAAGCATGTATCATCAAAGCACAAGCACTGAAATGAATGGGAAAGCAGGTTAGGGAAAGAGCCACATCCAAAAAAACTACTCTTAAGAGACTGAAGTAGTGATTGTACCCAGTTGGCTCTTAGACTCCTCTATTGATGGAGGTTTATCTGTAAGTTTGCTTTTTATATTATAAGTCCTTCTGGTTTAGGTGTATGGAGAGAAGGAATTTAGAGACTCTTACCGAGGTGGGTTTTTTATTGGTTTTTTTTTTTTTTTTTTGCTACTGGGGATTGAACTCATGACCTCCTGCTTGCCAGGCAGGTGCTTACTGCTGAGCTAAACCCCTGGCCTTTATTGAGCTATTATAGATTTCCTTGTAGTTTTTTTCAGGCATATACTCTTCATTGATTACGTTGCAGTAGAATATTCCTAATGGATTTTGTATTTGTGATTTAACCATGATTGTTAACTGCTTGCAATATTTTAATTTCTTGGATCATTTTGTTTTTTAACTTTTTCTTAGTACATGTTTGCAGTGCATAACCTTTACATTCCTCATGGGGAGTTGGCACATGTATAGAACACATTTGAATTCTTTTTCTAAGATCATTTTAAGATTTTTTTTTTTTTTTGGTACTGGGGATGGAACTCAAGTCCGTGCACTTGCAAGGCAGGTGCTTATGCCCTGAGCTAAATCCCCAGCCTTGAGTATTTAGTTTCTGACTTAAGAAGGCATCTTAATGAGATTTGAAAAAAGGACTATTGCTAATTTTACATATAAGTCATTTTTTTTCTCCATTTAGAAATGTTTCATGATAGATACTCAGAATTTGGTTTTTAACATGTAATACCTATTTTCTTTCTTCAGGTCTATAACAAGGTGAGGACTGGAGAAAAAGTAAAAGTTGAACATGTGGTCAGCATCCTGGAGAAGAAATATCCCTATGTAGAAGTGAATAGCATTTTGGGGATTGATTCTGCTTACGATCAGAATCGAAAGGTAAAACATTCTTTGAGACTAAATGTTTGACTGTAGCATTAAGTTATCTTTCTTCTTTGAGCTTCTTTTGTTATTACAGCAATGGTGGTGGGTGGGTGTTCAGTTTATCTAGTTACTTAGATTAAGGTTGGAAATATTTTAAGAGATGGAATAAACAAAGTAGCAAAGTAAAGTAAGTAAGAAGGAAAACTTTAAAATTTTTAAAGATAATATTTTCTTGTAAGCTATTAAATACAGTTAAAGAATCCAGATGTGGTGGCAAATGTCTGTATTTCAGCTGAGGCAGGAGGATTGCAGAGAATTTGAGGCCAATCTGGGCTACGTAGGTGAGTTCAAGGTCATACATAGTGAAATCCTGTCTCAAAAAAAAAGTGCATGCATTTGTATAGTATATATCTATCTGTTGTAAACAAGTTGTTTGAAAAGTTTTGAAGTTCAAACTATTGGAAATTTATGTTAAAACAAGGTATCATGCTCAGAATGGTAGTGCATACCTGTAATCCCAGCATTTAAGAGGCGGAGGCAGGAGGATGCCTGTGAGTTCAAGGCCAGCCTGTCTCAAAAAAAAAAGACATTTCTGGCTGGGCTCACTGATGGTTGCCTGTAATCACAGCTATATTAGTGACTGAGATAGGAGGATCATGAGTTCAAGGATAGTGTAGCAATTTAGCAAAACTCTACCTCAAAATTTTAAAAGGTTGAGTATCTGGGTCAAGGTTATAGGTCAGTATTGTTACCTCTGTAAAACAAAAGTAACAACAACACAAAATCCCATAAAAGCAAAAAACAACAAAAACTTTCTAGAGCATTTTAACTTAGGATGTATGAAAATTATTTACCCAGTTTTTATTTTCTCAGAGGAACAAGCTTTTTGTTTCTCTGTTTGGAGATCTGAACTATCATCCTTTCAAGCCACATTCAGAATGAATTGTTTATAATTCCTCTTTCATCTGATCTCCACCTATGTTTTATAGTCTGACCCACACCCAGTTTTGCCTTAGTTGGTTTTTACTTCTCCCTTTTTTGAGTTTCCAGTCATTCAGCTTGTTTTTGTAGGCAAAACAGTCTTATCTTTTTGTACTTATATTTAATTCATTTACATAGTTTGTAATTGCATCTTTTTGCTTTTTAGAACTCACATACTTTTTTCTTTTAGAACTTTTTTGTTAGAACTTACTGTGGGGGGGATCACCGTAATAACTCTCTCTCTGTGTTTCTCTCTGTCTCTCTCTCTGTCTCTCTCTATATATTTAAGTATATTTTATATTTTACATATTATATGTATTTTTAGTCTCATATGACTAAAATAGTGTTTGCTCCTACTCTGGGGATATATGGATTATTCTGCTCTGGTTTTTTTTCACTTAAAAAATTACTAGTCACAAGTCAATAAATTTTGCTTCTAATATTATAATCCTTAACTGTTGTAGAGATTGTCAGTGCTAGTTTATTATTAGTGAAATGTATAGTGTCTTTCTTCTTAGAATTACCTAAAGATAGTGTTTATGTACACAAGGGAAAAATGAACAAACCCTTATTAGCATGTATCCTGTCTGCTTTCATTGTGCTTTAATCAGGTAAAGTCCAGTCCCGGGAACTGAGGGAGTGACTTTTAGCCATGTTAACAGGACACTCTTTAACATGGGCGTCTATTTATGTGCATTATTGCTTTTGATGCTCACAATAATCCTGTGAGGTACCATGGAAATATCAGATTCTCCTCACAGACAATGAGATTAAACTGCAGAGAGCTTAAATGATTTTTTCAGTTATTGCATAACTTCCAAAGAGGCAGAAACAAGAAAAAAAAAAATGTCACCTTTTAGACTCAGAGCTATTTTGGCAGGCAACATAGCTTCTGAGAGTAATCTAACCTGAAGTATTTTAACTACTTTTTCCTCATTTTCTCATTATTGGTTCTGCTTTTGATAACACACAACCAAAGACCTAGTTGTAAATTCATGTCAAGTTTATTCTTCTCTAATATGGAAACTCATGGCTACAAATCGTGTAATTTTTGGAAAGTATTTTTTTCTGTGCCTCAAAGTAACCTAAGCAAATGTGAACTACCCTAAAGGCTGAGGAAATGAAAAAAAGTTAGAAGAAGGGATAGAAAATGGGACGTGTTAGCACATTTAAGTCCCACTAGGCTTTAACTTTGGTGAAGGATTCAGTGGTGAGCTTTCAGGTAGATGAGATGAGAAGATTTTAGAGAAGATCTAAGTTTCAATGAGGTTATTCAAATTCAAATCCTGAACACACAATGATTGTGGGCTATGATCTTCAAAAACTTGATGCTGTCTAAATATGCTAAGATTTGAATACCATAATGCAGATTGATTCATATTTTTGTCCACTGATAATCTGAGATGTTTCTTTAAATGAAGTTCATTAAATGTTTTGCAAAACTGTCAGAGGTCCAAGTCTCCCAGGTGAATCAGTGGTAATTGGTTAACTTACTGAGATCAGTTAGAAGATATGCTACTACAAGTTGATCCAGGTTTTAGAGTCACTAAAACATCATAAGTTAGCAAGAATAAGACATAAGAATACTAGAGAAATTTTGAACTATTTTGCAAAAGCTAAAGTTTTAATTTTAGAACATTTAACAACAGTACTGGGTAACTTCTCTGTGCCAACTTAGTACTACAAAGCTGAGCAGGATGTGCTGCCTGCCCTTGGTGAGTTTACATGGCTTAGTTGGGGAGACAGAGAAGAGCAGTATTGTGGTAATGGTATCTGCTTGTGTCTGTGCAGCGAGGCCAGTGCCATGATGGGCAGCTCCACTGACTGGAGGCAGTGATTTGTGGAAGGCTTCTTGGAGGGTGTGACAGTGGCCACCTTTGTGAATTCAAGTTTCTAGAGGAATAAAGGTTGTTATATGTATACATTGATATTGAGTACAAAACTAATTAAGTCCTAGTTCTATACCAACAGAAATCTATACCTTTGGAAAGATAAATTTTAAAAATTTTTATTAGTCCATATGTGTAGTACATTAGGATTGCACTTATCATGGGGACTTGATACATGTAACATAATATATCTTAATTCATTTTGTTTTTACATTTTTATTTTAATTTATTTTTATTTTGAAAGGAATAAAACAAAATGGAACAAAACAAAACAGTGAACATAGTATTGGATTTCAAAAACAAGCCAGAAGGAAATCCTCCATGGTTGCTATATTGCATGTTATTATCCTCTAAACAAATGCTCAGACTACTGTCTTTAGGCCTGCAAAGTCAGTCAGTCAATCAAGCATTAATTTGTTTTTGTATTTTAGTTGCTATCATCCCAGAGTGTGTTTCTCCAGATCAGCCAGTTGCCTTCCCTGGTGTGGGGAGTCTTTTCATATCTCCCAGCCTGCATGCCAGCTGCCTCATGGGAGGGTGGGGTTGACTTTTTGATTCTCTTCCCTGCCTATGGCTGCTGCTGGCTCATGGGAAGTATGGGCTGACTTCTTTGCTCTTTTACTGGCCCATAACTGCCACTGTTTATTTCTTTTTTGCTTCTTCTTTCTGTCTTTCTTCCCCTCTGAGGAAACTAGCCTGCCTGCCTTCTGTGCTGTTTTTGATTCTGTTGTGATGTTAAATCTGCTTGTTTTAAGATATATCAAGAGTGGCTCAACATTAAAGCTGACTTGAGAATGATTCCATTATTGGACTGCAACCTTCTGATCTGTCACTCATCACCTTTTCAGTTTTTCTTTTTGTTGCAGTTGAAGTCCTAGGGATTGAATCTGGGGCCTTCACATTGAGCTGCATACCCAAGCCTCTTACAGTTTTGTTTTTTTTTTTCCTAATTTAGAGGCAAACATGGTGGCACAGGCCTGTAATCCCAGCACTCAGAAGACTGAGGCAAGAGTATTGCCATGAGTTCAAGGCCAGCCTGGTCTACATAGGGAATTTGAGGCCAGCCTGAACTACACCGTGAAAGCCTGTCTGAAAAAACAAACAAACTAACCCTCCCTGCAAAAATTGTTTTGACACAAGGTCCTACTAAATTGCCCAGAAGCTTATAATCCTCTGCCTTAGCCCCACCGAGTGCTAGAATTGCAGGTGTCCACCACTATGCTAGGGTGGTGTTTGTCTGTCTGTCTTTTCTTTCTTGCTTGCTTGCTTGCTTGTGTGAGAATGGACTACAGTGTCTCATGTATACTAGGTAAGCACTTTACCACTGAACTACTTCCTCAACCCCTTTTCTCTTAGTTTGTTAATGAAACATATAAATGTGAGCACCCAGTGATTTCTCTCTTTTTTTTTCAGGTTGATATAACAGTATGAATACTACTGTATAGAAAATTGTTAAGTAAAAATCAAAGATTTCAAAGAATTAATGGAGTTTTTCTTGTTTCACACTTGAGAAATGTTTAGCTTACATTTTCTCTTATTCTATTGAAAAAATATAAGCAGCTTTTTTATTGTGGATGATTGCTATATTAAAAAGTATTTGCTTTGAGGTTGGAAATATACAGAAGTAGACTACATGAGGCTATAGGTTCAATTGCCAGTATCTCTCTCCCTTTCCCTCTTCTTGAAAAATATTGAATACAGTGCAAGTTGCAAAAAAGGTTTTTTCTACATGTTTGCATTATGAAAATCCTGATTCTGAGGCACAAATGTAAATTTTAAGTACAATGATGCCTGCTAAAAGGAGCCATTTTTTCTTAAAATAACTATTTTAAGAAAATCTATTCTCTTGGGCTTTATTGTGTGGGATAAATTACAGCTTAAAAATTTGCAGTCATTGGATATTTTGGACCAATGGGATCCATATTACTAACTTGATAGTATTTCCTTGCCTAGGAAGGAAATTAAGTGGTTTAAATATAAATAGTATGATTGGTTCTTTAGGGATAGTCACTACAGAGGAAGAAAATGGCTGTCTGGGCAACTGCTGAGGAGCTTAGTCTGAGATTGTTCCATTTAGTTCAGTTTTTTTTTTTTTTTTTTTTTTTAGCAAATCTGAAGTTGTATCTTCTTTTTTCTTTTATCGGTACCGGGGACGGAACTCATGACCGCCTGCTTGCAAGGCAGGTGCTTATTAATTTTAAAATACGCAATTGTTTTTAAAGATACACAATTCACTTTAAGTAGAACTTTTAAGAGTAAAGAGAATTACTCTGTTTAAAAGTCTATCTCTCTCAAAGACATTAAGTTCTAACTTGTACATGCAAATATTATTAATATCTGACACATTAACCTTGCAATCTTATTAATCTCATTTGTCATTTGTGAGCGACAAAGTCATTACAAGACTTGCTTATATTTAGTGTTCAATATTTATTATTTAACATTTTCAATAATCTGTTGATAGAAAACTTCATATGCAATTTTTCAGCTTAACTGTGATATGTAATTGGGTTGTATTCTGTTAATCTTTTCTAAACTATTTGCAAGTGGTAAAAGAGAATGTTTAATCAGATTTCCTCCCCCTCATACCTGACCTTCATTCAAAAGCTGTTTCCAGGAAAAACCAATGTTACTTACTTATTTATTTCTCAGTACACGTTGCCTAGGCTGGTCTACTCCGGGCTCAGGCAATCCTCTTGTTTAAGCCTCTCAAATGCTGGTGCTGCATTGTCCATCCTTTATTTTTATTGGGTGAGGGAAATGGTATTCAAAACTCAAATTACATTAGAATTGAATTTTAGAGACTTTGGTGATACAGCTGAAATTTTAAAATGGAATTAACACGGTAAATAAAAGTTTAGGAAGTAAAAATGTAAACCTCTTAATGGTACAGAGAGATGCCCAAAGGCAACCCAGGCCTTTTTAGTGGCTCTGCCATATTATAGCCCATAAATTACATACTGTCCTGTAATCGACCACTGGATCTGATTAGAAACTAAACAGTCTGTTATTGATGCCTAATATCTGTTACTTAGTAAGAGTCTTAAATTCTGCAGTTTTCAGAAAGGATCAGTTACAATATATTGAATAGGAATTTTAAAAGTAACTGTCTTTGTGTCTTTTACCGTGGAATGCTAGTCTCAGTGTACAGTATCCCTGTTGACAGGGAAAGTGTCTGCCTCAGATCCATTTGCCATTTTGTTGCCATCATTTCTTTACTAAAGCTGTGTTTATCCTGGAGAAGGAAAAAGATTGAGTTTAGTGTATGTTAAACTGTTGTTTTCCTACGAAGTTTATTTTGTTTTCTATGGGTTTATGTATTTGTTTATTGTCAGGATCTTGCTATGTACTTCAGGCTAGCCTTGAACTCAGTGGTGATCCTTCCAAGTGCTAGGGTTTCTAGGCATGTGCCCCCACATCCAGCTCCCATATTTGTTTAGAATTGGGCATAAGTAATTTCAGTTTTTAGGGCATTCTGCCTTAGGGCACTGTGAATTTATTGTAGCAGATAGCTGTGTTTGCCCATTGTGGTAGCCTTTAGCTATGTGGTCATTTAAATGGAAATTAATCAGAATTAATGTAAGTAAGGTGTTAGTTGCTTGCTCACAGGAGCTAGATTTCAAATGCTCAGTTGCCCCATATTATTAGTGATTGCTGCTTTGGACAGCATAGAATTTTTTTCCATCATTGCTGAGAATGCTGTTTACAGTGCTGACTATAGTATATGTAGTTCAGTTTTTGCAGACTGGACAACACACACACACGTGCTAACATGTACATGCATCTTTTAATTTGCAAAGTTTTTGTGGTTTACAAAAAATTTCATTCAATCTTAAGTTTACCCATTAGACCATTAACCCTTTTTAAGAATATCGTTCCTTTCCCATAGAATGGTATTTTTTTGTTCTTCTCAATACAGGCATTTACTAAAAATATCCTTAGTTCCATTTGTGCTAAGAGGGCAAAAATGTGCTGTTTGGTGGTCTTTTGTATTCTAGGAAGCAAGAGGTTACTATGAGCAAACTGGCATTGGTCCACTGCCTGTCGTTCTGTTCAATGGAATGCCCTTTGAAAAGGAACAGCTAGATCCTGACGAGTTGGAAACCATCACAATGCACAAAATCTTGGAGACGACTACCTTCTTCCAAAGAGCAGTATACTTGGTGAGTGACACTTCAAGGCTGACTTTAAAAAGAATAGTTTGCTTACATTTTGTAGCTTTTACATCCCTATTTCCTATGTGCCACTTTACCATGCTCAAAATTTCAACCCCCTCTCTAATCGTGTGGTTGATCTTTATGGTATGCTAAGTCTGACTTGTCTTGTTAGCATAAAGTAAGGACCTAGCCTCCATCACTTTAAAGTGTAAACTATCAGTTGTGTTCTGAGAGCCCCATTATGAATAGCAAAGACCCCCCATTATGAATAGCAAAGACCCCTCATTATATGAAATACAAGGTTACCTCTCATGAAGTATGGACAAAAGCCACCCTCATTATTTACTACATATTGGTTCTATATATAACGGTTATATATTGCAGTGATGGTGAACCTTTCCTAGATGAGGACCCAACCTGCAATCCCAAACCCACTTCTTTATCATTGTCTAGGTTACTTTTCTGTCATTGCTGAGACAAAACACCTGACATGCAAAATTTTGCTTACTATGGAGATTTCAGTCCATAATCAGCTGACTCCAAGGCAGGATGGCATGGCGTCTTCCCATCCCTTACACTGTATGCCGACTCCACCCTAGGCAAGTGCAGCACTCAAACCACCAATCTCAGCTCCAGACAGTGAACCAATTATGAATGCCAGACTCGGCCAGGTCCATGACTGCATGAGGCTTGTGAGGGGCCATCTGAACCCAAACCATAGCAATCATAAAGTGCCAACACTACAATTAAACCTGAAGACTGGAAAAAACAACTCGTATATTAACATCTTTTGTTTTAGAAGAAAAACAAATATTATGAATGCTGTAGGTTCACATCATTGTTCTGTTGTGTCCTATAGGGATCTCTTTTTCATATTGATAATCTTGATCTATTTTTTTTTTTTTTTTTTTTTTGGTCTTTTTCCTTTTTATCGGTACCAGGGATCGAACTCACGACTGCCTGCTTGCAAGGCAGGCACTTATGCTGCTGAGCTAAATCCCCAGCCCCGCAATCTTGATCTATTTTTAATTCACTGTTTTTTTCTTCTGTTAGCCAAAATCTACTATTGTGCCCCTTTAGTGCATATTTCATTCAGTAGAAGCAACACATACACAGTTTATTTTGTGGTGCTGGCACTGGATATGCTAGACAAGCACTCTATCACTAAACTACATCCCCAGTCTATCAGTGATTACATGTTCAATTTTGATATACTCAAAAGTTTGATATACATAATTTCTTTTAGTTCTTTGAATATATTTAAAATAGCTTATTTAATTTTTTTGTGTATTAAGTCCAGTATCTGGCTTTCTGACAATATATCCAGGCTACTTTTTAGTGTACTCCACATTTTTCTCTTTTCATGTCAAATATGTATACTGTAATATATATTATGTTACATATTACATAGAATGTTTTTCCAGCTTCCTCTTTCTCCATTATTACTACCTAAGGCAACTGAGATGTTAAACAATTGCTCCTGATCGTTTTTGACAAAATCCCTGATACTTGCACTTAAGATTTTCTTCAGTTCAAATTTAAAAAGCTCCTAGAATTTTTGTACTTTGCTAGTATTAACTTTTATTGTTGGGCTGTTGGTTTTCAAGTCTTTTGTCAGCTGGGGAGTTGTAAATAGATACAGGGCAAAATTGGGCTGGGTGTAGTAACTCACACCTGTAATTCCAGCACTTAGAAGGCTGAGTTCAAGGCCAGTCTAAATTACATAGTGAAACTTTGCCTCAATAAATAAATAAATGAATGAATGAATGAATGAATAAATTGTAAAAGCATAAATTAAAATATTTCAAGAGCCATCGTTTCACTGAGGTTTAGACTTGTTAGTGAGTGAAAGTCCCTCAGAAGTTTGCAAACCTTTAGTTAATTTCTTGAATTTTGGGAAAATTGATTTTAACTATTATTTCTAGTGTTCTCAGGGTTTCTTTTGGAGAGAGGCTTTTCAGAGATCTTTACTGTCATTTCTGCTGGATGGCACTCTCAAGTATAGTTTCAAATGTCAAATGATGTTGATAATAACCCTAAGTCAAAATATATATTTTAAAAATTTTATTGTAGTGAAAAATATACATCATAAAATGTATTGTTTTAATTATATGATTCAGTGGCATTTAGTACAGTTATAATCCTGTGCAGCCATCTCCACTGTCCCCCTCTAGAACTTTTTCGTCATTCCATCCAAAAATTATATACCCACTAAGCAGTGATTCCCATCATCTTCCCCTGCCCTAGACACTGGTTCCCACTATTCTGCTTTCTGTGTCTATGAATTTACCTCTTCTCCAGAACAGTGTCTGGCACTCTGCTGCATTGTAGCATTTCAGAATTTCATTCCATTTTAAGGTTAAAAAATATTCCTTCCATCTTTTGGCTATTTTGAATAATCTTGCTATTGATCCAGTGCAAGTGTCTATTCCTATTCTGCTTTCAATCATGGCCGTATACTTTTAAGTGAAATTACTGGATCTTATGGCAATACTGTGTTTCCTGTTTTGAGGAATCACCAAACTTTTCCATAGCATTGTACTGTGTTACAACCCCATCAAAAATGTGCAAATGTTCTAGTTCCTTCACATCCTTACTAATCCTTTAGGTATTCTGATGGATGTGAAGTGGTAATTCATTGTGACATTATTTGTATTCTCCTGTTATTAGTGCTCTTGAGCATCTTTTCATATGCTTCTTGGCCACTTACATTTCTTATTTGGCAAAATGTCTAGTCAGGTCTTAGCCCATTTTTTTGTGAGCATAGTTTGTGTATTTTATATTACATTCATTTGTAAATTTTATATGAAGAATATATCTTTTATTTTTGTTAGTATATATTTGCAGTACATAATAGCTACATTCATCATGGAGGGTTAGTATCCTGAATTTAATTTTTTAATTTTAGTTGTAGTTTTTTTTATTTTGGGTATTAATCCCTTATAAGTATGATTCATAAATATTTCATTTATTCAGTTGTCTTTTCACTCCAGTACTATTCTTTGGTGCACAGAAGTTTCACTTTTATGAAGTCCAGTTTATTTTTTCTTTATTCTTTGTGCTTTTGGTATTTTATCTAAGAAATTATTAACAAGCCCATTGTCGTAAAGATTTTCTCCATTGTTTTCTAAAAGTTATCTACTTCTTTAGCCCTTTGATTTATTCTGAGTTGATTTTTGTATAAGATTAGGGCTCAATGTTCTTTTTACATGTGCATGTAGGTTTTCCAACATCATTTGTGAAAAAAGTCCAGAAACAAATTTTTTAAGAAGTTTTGTTTTGTTGGGTTTTATATTTATCTTTTTGAGACCAGATCCTACTATGCAGTTTAGGCTGGCCTTGAACTCACTTTGTAGCCCAGTCTGGCCTCGAACTCACAGTGATCCTCCTGCTTCAGCCTCTAGAGTGCTGGGATTACAGGAGTTCACCACCTTGCCTGGCAAGAAAGGAAGTTTTGTGCTGCATGTTAATACGTTCATACAAAAAAAGTCCTTGGTCAAATTTGTCCCCTTGTGCTAAAGAATTTGTCCTTTATGGAGCTACTAGAATGAGAATAAAGTTTTTATTTGAATGTGTTTTTCTAAACTCATGAATAAAGTAGGAGAAATACTAATTTTGTTTTATTTAATATAAACAATTAAAATGTTTATTATTCTCCCTTTTAGAAATGTTTACATTTTCTCCAACAATGTTACATATGAAAATTTAGAAGAGGGCTGGTGGTGTGACTCAGTGGTAGAACACTTGTTCAGCCAGTGTACCCCCTATGTCCAGCACATCCCATGCCATCAGCATAGCTTTTTTTTCTTCTAGTTTTTCAGATACTGGTATATCTGTTTTTTATGAAGTAACCATTTAAAAATATTTGTTCCTCTGTGAATGAATGTTAGTTTTTCTTTGCTTTGACATATGTAGTCAGTGAGAAGCTTGGTTTGTGCTAGATAAAAACAAAGTTTTTAAAGTTTCTGACAAAAATAGCATGTTCATATACATTTTTTTTTTTTTTTTTTTTTTTTGTCTTTTTCGTTTTTATCGGTACCAGGGATCGAACTCACGACTGCCTGCTTGCAAGGCAGGCGCTTATGCCACTGAGCTAAATCCCCAGCCCCTCATATACATTTTTTAAAAGTGAAAGTTCTTGCCTGGAATTTAGCTCAGTAATATAAGTGCCTGCCTAGCAAACACTAGGTAGTGAGTTCGATTTCTGGTTTAAAAAAAAAAAACTATGCAAAGTGGAAGTTCCTTACTGTCAATCCTAGAGAGGTATGTATGTGTGTACTTTTATGTATACAGTGAGTATGCTAATATGTGTATAGTCATACATTTTTTGAGAAATATCAGGAATTGGAATTGCATCAGGAATTGGAATTGGAATTTAAATATTGACTTAGATTTTGACTACATAAGGAGACGTGTGATACATAGTTTAAATGGATAAAGAAATACAAATGAGCTTTCACCTGTTATCTTCTGTCTTTACTAGTTATGTTCTCTTCCTCAAAACAACTACTTTGTGTGTGTGTGTGCGCACGCGCGCATCTTGAGATGTGTGGCTGGTTCATTTGGTCATTATTAGTCATTTGAGATTTTGCATATAGTTACAAACAATGTCTAAATGGAATATCTTAGGTTTGAATGTATATGTTTGAGCCCCAGCTTTCTCTTTTAAAATGACATTAAAATACGCCTTTATATTAATATTTTAATTATCACTTTATAGATTTCCAATTATTAACATTTACCTTTAAGAGCAACGTAACGAAGTACAGCTATGTCTGTGATAGTATAAGGTGCACAAAGGAGAAGATTAAATGACAAGTGATCCTTTCTTTTTCCCAGGGTGATTATGACTTAGGAGATGTAGGGTTGCAAAGGCTCAGAGTGATATTTATTACACAGAGTACTTAACTGCTCATGAGTAGGCCTTTGGTATTCTACTTTAGGAAGAAGCTATCTATGAGTAGATCACAAGATGGATTTCTGCTTATGCTAAGTCTTAAATAATAGAGCTTGCTTTTTGTCTAGAAACAGTTGTATATGGAGAGTTTGCATTTCATGTTCACATCCCATTAGCTCTGTGGCTTTGAGAACACTTTCCTCCCATCTTTAAAATGGATAACCTTTGTTAACAGAGTCAGAGGTACTATTTATACAATATTAGCTATGCTTGGCAATGATAGGGACCTATAACATGTAACTTCTGGTAACAACAGGTAAGAAACTATTATAAAGCTAACAATGTTTTAGTTTCTTAGTGAATTGTGAACTTAACACCCCATCCCTCTCTATTTCTTTTTTCCTGTAGGGTGAACTATCTCATGATCAAGATGTGGTAGAGTATATCATGAGTCAGCCAAATGTTGTTCCACGAATCAATTCTAGGGTTTTGACAGCTGAGCGAGAGTACCTGGATTTAACAGCAAATAGTAAGGAACCTTTAGGCTTTTTGATTTGCACTTGGGATTGTTTGCATTTATTAGCCACACCTCTGGGATTCTAATTTCCTTGGGCAGGCCACATCTTCCGAAGGTTGTACACATTCCCAGTAGCATCCATTTCTTTAGCACATAGGCCTTGAGGAGACATTGAAGATCTGAATCATATCCAGACAGATACTCATTCTCAAGGTCATAGTGTTCTGTTGCCTATGCATGTCATGAACAGTTTGACACATGGGCAGCATTCCGTGTGCATCATTGAATGGAAGGAATGGGTAGATGAGCAGACACACAGACCAGGAGATTGGTGAGCAGACCAGCAGATATGCTTGGTGGACAATGTTTAGAAGAGTAGCATGTCTGTGGAGTTGTAACAGTGTTTAAGACTGGGTAGAGAGCTGGGCATGGTGGCACATGCTTGTAATTCTGGAAGGCTGAGACAGGAACATTGGTATGTGTTGGAGGCCAGTCTGGGCTACATAATGAGTTCAAGACCAGATTGAACTACCTAATGAGAACTTGTCTCAAAAAACTAAAACAAAATGAAAAACTAGACTGGATAGAGAGCTGGAGATACACCCCATGGAAGAATGCTTACCCAGCATGTATGAGTCCTAGGTCCCATTCCCAGCATCACAAAAAAGAGGCAAAGGGAGATTGTTGCCGGCAAATGGTTTATCATACTAGACTGGAGACCATTTTATAGGTAGGAAGAAATTACTAAGTAGTTTAGAACAAGGGATCAGCTTGATGTAACTGCAGTGTTAGCAAGTGATCTGAGGGGAAACGATTAACAGAGGGGCTGCCTTTGGGCTCTACCAGAAAGGGTACATACCTGAAAATAGTGAAAATGACCTTTTGACTCTAGTAAAATTAGGAAAATGTTATTTTCTTAAACATGAAGAATAGAAATCAAGTTTTTTTCTGTCCTCTGGGTCCCTAGGTAAGGCAGCAGTGTTTGCTAGTGGGTGGACTGGAGAGAAAGACATGAGGGTACTTTTCAGACCTTTCCCAGTTACAAAGTGACATGGGAATAGGATTTAAACTGCTAGACTGAGAGCTATGTGAGATGTTATGTGTTATTCATTAACCTTGTGTCTTTACTTCATTGGTGAATCTTTATATTACTAACTATGGTCAAAGCAGGCTATCGGTTGAATACTAGTAGAGATTGAACTGAGATATATTAATTATACACCTATTTCAATGTCTTCTTTTTTCACAGATAACTTATTTGTAGATGATTATGCTAGATTTTCTGTATTGGATTCCCAAGGCAAGACTGCTGCTATAGCTAATAGTATGAACTATCTGACAAAGAAAGGTATCTGTATTTGGGTTTATCTTGGATTCAGTGTCTGTCTCTCTGTCAGGATTGGCAAGCATAAGTCAATCTTAATGTCAATCTTAATTTCCTTAAGGAAGGAAATTACGTCTTTTTTTGTTTTATTTTTACAATTCTTTGAGTTTAGAAAATAATTATTTACATATGTTTAAAAATGCAAATAGTGTCTTTGTAAGTTTTGTTAGCTATTAAAATTAGGAAAAATCATGATTCAGAATAAAAAATACTTATGTAAAAATGAGTTAATTGAAAATTGCTTCTATTTGCTCTTCAGTGATGATGAAGGAGTAATTTTATTTTAAGATTTATGAGGTAAATCAGGTGTTAAAAGCCTTGTGTAATTTTTAAACTGCTTTGTATGTAGAGTTATTTAGTTAAAATTGTGTAAGATGATACCCTCAAGTTTCCTCTCATTAGGGTTGGACTTATGACCCTTGCAGAAAGCACCAGCTGTCACTTAAGATAGCTGGTGTTACCCCGCTATAGTCTTTTATCTGGAAGACTTCCTGATTTTTAGGTGTTTGTAAGTACAGGTAATTACCCCGTGAGTTCCTCCAAGAATTGTTTCTGAAAGGCCATGGAGCAGTACTACAGCGTCCATAGAGCAGAGAAAAGGCATAGTTCACATTAGTCATCTTTTAATCTTTGGATTCTTGGGATGTTAACTACAGAAATGATGTTTTCTTTTCTTCTGCTCTCTTCCTTTTACCTTTGTCCAGGAATGTCCTCCAAGGAAATCTATGGTAACTCATAACTTCAGAATGTTCTCTTCTTCATTATCACATGTGCTTTCAGGAACCATTGTTATTCAAAATTTATTGACACTTGTTTGTCATGTTTCTGGAACCTGTGGATAACTATAGGCTATATCAGTACAAATAAATTTTTGTACTAAATCAGTACATATAAATGTTTATAAAAAAGATTTCAGGAAGTTCCAAGTAAATATGATGAAAGACCGTGCTGTGTTATCCACATGTTTCAGTTTATATGCTAACAGATTCCCAGGCCACAGGAGAATTAATCAATGCATGTTGCTATATCAGCCACTTGGAAGGCTGCCCTCTTGTAATTTAGTAATGTTTTGCTTTCTTTTCAAACTAGTCATCTTCTTTTTTCTTTTTGCATGAGTTTTAGGAATTATGTAGCTTAATAACAATATTGAAGCAAAAGATGTTTCTTTTTCATCTAATTCAGTTTGTTTTTATTTTCCTATAGATGATTCTTTTATTAGGCCAGTAACCTTTTGGATTGTTGGGGACTTTGATAGTGCTTCTGGACGGCAGTTATTGTACGATGCTATTAAACATCAAGTGAGTACCTACACTTAATTCTGTTGTTGTTTGAGGCTCCATTTGTCTTCCTGGGCATCTCTTTGCTGATGTGATACTCTGAATGATATTGTGTCTTCAGAGATCTGACAGCTTCTGAGGAAGAAGACCAAATACTGCCATGTCCTGACTTCATTGCATGAGATAGATTTTTCTGAGAGGGAAAAATGTGATCTTTCTGTGGCCTTTACCTTGAGAGAGGCCTGCATGCCGCGAGTACTGCTTAGGTGTGTGGAAGGAGGGCTGGGTGCCCAGGAATGCTCACATCGGTGCTTTGAAATGTTTGTTGCACAGGAGTGGCAGGACTTCAGGGAAAAACAGTGTTGAATGGTCAAGAAATTGATTCTGCCAGAGTTGTTTGGAGAAGAGATATCAAAATGCCTTTTTCTGAGCTGTTTGCATTTGCAGCAGCATCTAGTCTTCTTCACAGCCCTCCTTTCTACCCAGGCCAACTTACTGAAAGCAAGACATGGTGGGTGACCTATGTCACTGTGTTGCTGAGGGATTGGACCCAATGCTGTCACTTCAAGGTTACACCAGGGGCATTTCTAATGAAGTCTGTTGATGTATGTAAGAGGCGCCCTGCTGGAAGCTAAGCGGCATTTAGTTCTTTCTCATTATATGGGCATACCCGAAAGTTTGGTTTCTATTTAGTGTATTTGAATGACCTCTGAGTTGTTTTAGCTTGGGGTTTATTAAGTAGAATGCTGCTAGAAATGTTCTTGTACATGTCTTTTAATACCATTAGTTTAAATTTCTGTTTGTATGTTCGATACAAGCCCATTTTTAGTGCTGTGGGTCCTAAATACCTTCTCTCATATAAATTCCTTGCTTTTCACTCAGAGGTAGGTTATTTTCATCAGGCTGGTGAAAAAGCCCTGTGCTGTGAGTGAAGATAGGTTTGAGCAGTATCATGAAGAATGATGAGAACTTAAGGGAGATAAGATGGAGTGTAGTTGAGGACAGCATGCAGTGTGATACATGATGTGTGTTAGAGTCATGTTAAAGGAGTTAAGGGATGTCACGGCTCCGATGGTCTGCAGTATCAACTATATTTGCAGGATTAGGAAGAAATGGTGTTAGAAGGTCTATCAGTGGTGTTGGTAGTCAAGTCATGCAGGGTTTTGAATGCCGGATTGTAACTTCTGCATTTTTCTGGACACAGAGAACTACCAAAAACTTTCAGAAGGATATTTTTTGCTACTTATGGAACATGATTGATGTCAATGCTACCTTCTAAGTTTGAGATATCTACTGTCTAACTCTTATGTCCCTCTTGTTTTATCAATAGAAATCTAGTAACAATATTAGGATCAGCATGATCAATAACCCCAGTAAAGAAATAAGTTATGAAAACACTCAGATCTCTAGAGCAATCTGGGCAGCTCTTCAAACGCAGACCTCCAACTCCGCCAAGAACTTTATCACCAAGATGGTTAAAGAGGACACTGCAGAGGCACTGGCCATGGGGGCGGATATCAGGGAGTTCTCTGTTGGGGTAAGACTTTCTGCATCCCAAAGCTGCTCCCTCTGTCACATGTCTAGCTGATGTGTCCAGGTCTCAGTTCATCATCAGAATTTGTGACTAATTCTGAGTCTCAGGGTTTTGTGAAATAATTGTGTCACATAACCCTTTACTTTTAAACTTCCTCAGGTTTCAAGATGTGCATGATACAAGTCCGTGTACTGAGTACAGTGCCATTTGTTTTGCTTTTAAAGCACCAATTGCTTTGCTTTTTTACTGTTTTCTTAAATGTTGCATAAATCTTGTTATTTTTTGTGTTATTCTTAATGTTTTAAGAATTTTCATAGTAATCGAGTCTTGATTAAAAAAACAGAGAAGTAGTTAACAGAGAAGTAGTCCTGTTTGATGTAAGTCAGTGATAGTACATACTTTGCATGTGTGAGTTCCTTGTTTTGTTTAGTTTTTAAAAGATAAATAAGGGCTAGGGATGTAGCTGAGTGGTAGAGCACTTGCCTACATGGGACCCTATGTTTCATCTCCAGCACTGCAAAAATAATAAGCAAAAAAAAAAAAAAAAAAGCAATCAGACAATATTTGATTTGCTTGTAGAACTAAAAAGATACTATTCACTTTTGAGTTAGAGGCTTGTGTAAAAGTTCATAATTATTCACTGATTTAATACATTCTTCTGGGATGGGCAGGATCTCACTGTGTAGTTCAGTCTGGCCTCGAATTCATTGTGTAGTCCAGGCTGACTTTGAACTCACAGCAGTCCTCCTAAGGAATTACAGATGTGCACCTACCACACCTGGTTAAACTTCAGTTCATTTTAAGTATTTATAGTTATAAAATTTTTTATAAAACATGAGTATATCTAAAATTTCAGTAAGAGAAAATTGACTATTGCTTGAAGTCACCAAGATTTGAAAAGTGTAAAATAAATCATGGAGAAGAGTACACTATGGAACAAATCCCATAAAAATAGGAAAGGAACTAAGCAGTTCCTCACTGAAATAGGAGTGATTTGAATTGAGATACCATGTTAGTTAGGAAATGTACTTACTTTTCACAGAGTGTTTTATAATTTATTAAGAGTATTCATATGGTTTGCTTAATAACAATGACTTTTCCTTAAAAATGATTACTTTCCTAGGGCATGGATTTCAGTCTTTTTAAAGAGGTGTTTGAGTCTTCCAAAATGGATTTCATTTTGTCTCATGCCGTGTACTGCAGGGATGTCCTGAAGCTGAACAAGGGACAGAGGGCGGTGATCAGCAACGGAAGGGTGAGGACTTGTCAAGCTGACCCAAGCTTGGCTTCAGATTAGGTCCGACAGTCTTTGCAGCATGCTCCTCTGAAGCTAGTAAACTCTTCCAGCAGAGCCACCCTCTCTTCCAAGGTGATTAGGGCTTCTGAAGTGCAATGATATTTCTACCCCTCATTTCCCATGCAGTGTGCTTTCTGACGTAAACATCCCTTCCTGTTTATTTGTGTCCTGCCATTGTGGGAGGTAGTGAGAGTGTGGTGGCTCTCAGAACAGACGCCAGTAGCCTTTGACACATAAAGTAGGCTTTGTCACTGATACTCGGTAAGACTTAAAGAAGATTACCTTGCTATTTAATTTACAGAGTTTGAGTACTGTGCAAATAACGTGAATAAGTGTAGGCTGTATGTACTTGAGGAATTCCTAAATAAACATAGCTATGAGGTGATTGAGGCTTTACTTTTCATACTTCCATTGATTTCAGTTAGATGTGTATCTTTTCCCCACCTTTCTGGTGCTTAGGTGTGTAAGGTAGCTTGAGGCTGGGAAAGCACTTCTCACAGCTGCTGGTGGTGTACAGTTTTCCAGCTCTGACCTCCTCTTCTTCTTATAGATTATTGGGCCACTGGAGGATAGTGAGCTTTTTAATCAAGACGATTTCCATCTCCTAGAAAATATTATCTTGAAAACTTCAGGACAGAAAATAAAATCTCATATTCAGCAGCTTCGGGTAGAAGAAGACGTGTAAGTTTTGCCATAGAAGAAGTTAGTTCATGCCATAGAGGTCATGTCCTAACTGCCTTGTTCATGAAGTTTTATTTTCTGCTTTATAAAGAGGGCTCAACTTTTTATTTATTCAATTTTTAAAGCAAAGTTTATTTCATGAGCTTCTATTTAAAGAACTCAATTGTCTCAGTTTTTACTTGTTTTAGCTTTTGATTTTGGAAAATTTTAAACGTGCAAGAAGTAAAGGTCTTAATTACGTCTCTACCTGAATACTTACATAAGGAAAAACTCTCATCATCTGTTTAGTTATTTTTCAGTTTTATTTTTTTTGGGTGAGGAAAGACAGGTTACATGGTTATTTTCCTTTAGTTACCAGTATAGCATACTGAGTTGTTTCTCTTGCATCCTTTAAAAGTAAGTTGGCCATCTCTGGTCATGAGCTGCTTGGAGATTGATATAAAACCTGTGGGGTTCACAAAAGTTCCTTGCCTGCCTAAGATTTTTGTAGTGCCTGAGCTGTTCTACCTTGGAATGGCTGCCCTATTACAGATACAGCTTAACTCTTGACTCGGCCTACCACCACAACATGGCCGTTCCTGGCTTTCCAGAGTTAAACTGAGGCTCCTTGTCACTGTGCTTCATAAGCCTCTAAGGGGTTGCTTGTGACATGCTCACCCCATTCATATAACCAAGTGGCCCTTGATATGTTTTGTGACTGTGTTGACATTACTGCAGTCATGCTTAGCCTTAAGAAGTTAAGTCAGAAGAGAGTTTGATACAGTATTTTGGTTCAAAGATACAACATATAAGCTTGATTGCTGTTGAAGTGTAGCCAGAAGGGCTTTTGCCTTCAGTTTGGCAAATAAGGGCTTTTTTTTTTTTTTCAGGCTCACAATTTAGTTCAGGATCTTTTCTTAAAAATGAATTTTAGAAGGGATGAGGGAATATACTTTTCTAACTTTTTCACTGCATTGTTGATTATAACATTAAGTTAGAAAATAACTTAGATATTCAATAGCTGGTTGGTTTAATAACTATGATGTAGTTATAAATATATACTATGCAACCACTAATAGTGATATATGCCATATTTATTAACCTTCATTTTTATAAATTTAAATCAAAAGCAAATTGCCAAGTAGTACATGCATCTGTTTACAAACTGTGTAAAAATTATGAACTATAATATCGTAACTTATGTCTTGATGATGATATGTAATGTCAGTTTTTCCTTTGTATTTTTCTCAGTTTTTCCTTTGTAGTTTTCCAATGAATTATTACTCTAATAATTATTAGAATAGTAATACTATTTAAACAAGGGCAAAATGAGTGTAAATAATATTGACCCTTCCTCTTCTGAGTCAGATGCTGAGCTGGATACCTGATATATTAAGCCAGCACAGGGCAACCCACTCAGGACTCTTTCTGTCCCTCAGACAGAAGCTTGCTTTTTCTCATTATGTATGTTCCCCTGTATGCAAAGGAGCACATGTGCATAGCAGCTGAGTCCTGTTTCCACCTCTGCATATAGTATTTCTTCTGCCTGGAACACTACTCTTCAATTCATTTTCTTTAAAAAAAAAAAAAAGAAAGAAAGAAAGAAAGAAAAGAAAAAAGAAACAATATATTAAGCCAGCACAGAATTTACAAAGCCCTGACATGCAGGTAGTATCTGTACTGCCCATGTGGAAAAATGAACTATGTTCCTCAGTTATACAGCTGATCACTTACAAAATTAGTACTTTATCTCATGCCTGTTGGTAGAGACTTTGTGGCCTGTTTGAACCCTCTCATTAGTGTTCACTATTTGGATTATGTGTTTGTCAGTAAGTGAAAAACCTTCAGTTGCCCAGATAATAAGATTTCACAACCTCATCTTACAGAGCCAGTGACTTGGTAATGAAGGTCGATGCTCTCCTGTCAGCTCAACCCAAAGGAGATGCAAGAATTGAGTACCAGTTTTTTGAAGACAGACACAGGTATAGAATTCATGTTGAGTTAATTTTCCTAAATATTAAACTTTTACATAAATATTGCTTTTATCTCCTTTATTTTTCCATGTAAGGTTTGCATATAAGTTGTACAAAAAGAAAAACTAGTTTGAGGTACAAGTTTTGTATATTAATGTTCATATATAGAGTTCATATATATGAACTCTATTTCTCTATAAATTAACATTTATTTTTAAATAAATGTGAAGTAATTCTGAATACATCCTTTTAGGGAACAGACAGTATCTTATAAACAGACTAGTTGTAATTTTTTGGCATTCAAGAAGAAACAGATTGCTAAAACATTTGTGTCATGCATCCTTTTGAAAACTTTCCATAAAGAAAAATGAAATGAGTATTATGAAACATTGCCTTTTCATTGTCTAAGGTTCTTTTTTGGGGGGGTAGTTTTCTTTGTTTTGTTTCATTTTTGAAGCAGGATCTCCATGTGTAGCTCAGGCTGACCTTTGAACTCATGATAGTCCTTCTGCCTCAGCCTCTTGAATGCTGGGATTACAGGAGTATACCACTATGCCTTAGTCTTTAGTTCTTTATTTTGAAAAGTTCTCATATAAAAGTAAATGTATACTGATGCACGGCCTAGAGTCAAAGATCCCACTTCCCTTATTTCCCCCCCCCCCCCATTAGCAAATAGGAACCAGAAATCTGAGCGTCTCCTGGGAGGGTGACCATAGCAAATAAGGGGGACTTCCTTCTACCATCTCTTTGAAGGCAAATATTTTTATTACTGTTTTGCTCTTTTCTGATTAATGGTACTGCTCTATTCAATATTCTGTTTTGATAAGTTCTATAGTGTTCTATATTTCATCTCATTTTGATATACGTGATTGAAAGAACAACTATTATAAAGATAACGAAATATATTGTGATACCTATTACTGTTATCCCGGTAACCTGCTGTGAAGTTCTGTACCAATTTCACTGTACGATCTTAGTTGGCTTTATTCTGTCTTGTTCTGTTGTATTCTGTTCTGTTCTTGTTCTGTACTTTCAAAATAAAATTAAAAAAAAAAAAAGTAAATGTACGAGTTACAAGGGACCCCCAGGTATCTTTAATTTAGTTTCATCAGTTGCTGCATGCCATATTTGCTTTTATCTCTCATCTGTGTGAATAGTACATAAAGTGTTTTTGTTTGGTATATGCAACACATATACTCACATACTTTTCTGCAGCATTGAAAGGACATAGGCATCATTGCAATAAGCCTAAAATCTTCAGTAGATGTCTCCAGCATACAGTGACTTTCTCCAAAATACTGTTAGCTTGGCTTAGAAACCTATTCACATGTTTTGTGTCCCAGTAATGACTTTTTATAGTGCTTTTTATGTTCGTTTTGGTCTTAAATACACATTGCAATTAATTATGTATCTTTAGTCTCTAATCTTAAGGAGTTCCCTTTTGTGTGTGTGTGTGTGTGTGTGTGTGTGTGTGTGTGTGTGTGTGTTTGGTTTTTGTTGTTTTGCTTTTCTTTCTTCTTCCCTTTCTTTGTTTGGTCTTTTGTCCTTTATGACTTTGATATATTTTAAGAGTCTAGACCAGTTGTCTTGTGGAATGTCCTACAGTTTAGTTTCCTTGTGACTAGACTTAAATTAATTGTTTTAGGGAGAACTCTGTATGTAGTTTCCTGGCAAGGATGTAATTTGATTATGCTTCAGAATTTCCAGGGAGACTTTAAATATACGTGCCTCTGTGGTACTGCTTTGTGATTCTGACCTGATTGGTCTCGTATGGCTTGCATTCTGGTTTAAAGGACTTGTGTTTACTCACAGCCAATGTTGGTAGAGTCAGATTGGTCAGATTGTTTAATGACTGCAGGGTTACACTAGCTGTGTTTTCAGGTTTCTCATGTCACCAGTGGGTGAGGACTTCTAAATAAACTTTGTTGGATTTGCCACCAGCACTTGCATACATCTAAGAAGTAATTTTTTAGAGAGATTCTTCTTACTGGAATGTGTTAGCTAAGTGAGTGTGTGTCATATGTAAATCAGATGTTTCTTGTTTATATTGGAAGTAAAAAGGTCTGAACTATCAGTTCTGCACACGCAGGCTCTCTGAGTCTGATCCATGGACCAGCAGTGGCAGGAAACTCTCTGGGAGCTTGTCAGAAATGCAGTCTTCAGTCCCACACCAGACCTGTCACATCTATAGTAAATCTGGATCTTCCCAGGAACCCTGTGAACATTTGTGAAGTACTGTATTCTTTGACATTTGCTCTCCTCTAGGCAAATGAATATGATCTCCAAATCTTAATCTTGTCACTTTGAGTAACTTTTACTTGTTGAACAAGCATTTTTAAAAAAAATCCACATCTGTGTTTTTCTTTCTTTTTTTTTTTTTTGGTCTCTTTTCCTTGTTTTAGAATGTGGGACTGGTTATGGCCTTCCAGGGTCAGTTTCTGAGCATTTCTGTTGCACACTCCTTACACTGCTGTGCTAGTCAGAACATGTCTCGTTCAGCCTGGAGTCCCAGTAGAGACGCTCCTTTTTGTTCTCTCTGCAAGAGTCTGTATAATGCAGTTGTTCTCTAATGAGCTTTTCTCCTAGAATTCTACAGTAGTACAGATTATATTATGAAGTGGCACTCAAATTTTGACTCTTACTCAGGAGCTTAAAATGCAGATTGCTTTACCTGCCCCCAGAGTTTCTGATTCTGCAAATCTGAGCTCAATAAGTTTGCTTCTAGCAGATGCCCAAGTTGAACCAGCACTGCTGGTCTTAGCCACATTTTTGAGAATAGCTGTATTTTAGTAAAAAAAAAAAAAAAACAAAAAAAAAAAACTCTTTTATTATATCAGAATAGTCATTGGCAGTGATCAAATCTGGAGTTGTTAATATTGTCAGAGATTGTAAGCATTAAAAAACTGTTCGAAAACAGTGGTTATTTTTAAAGTTATAATTTGAAGTAACATCTTTTGGCATCTAAGTTATGGCTGCCCGGTTTTGTTATTTATGTTTGCCATGTAGTATGCTTTTTAATAATCCTTCTAGGTAGAAGTTCATGCATAAAAGACTAGTTAGTGGTCAGCAGATGAAACAAAGCAGTTAATGATTTAGAACACTGAGTAGTTTTAAATCTTTCAAAGTTGATTACTCTGTATCAATGTGACTGCAGGGGGAAGCTCTGTAGCAAGAAGCTCTAGCTGGGTAAATGTGTTTTTCTAAAGGGCCTAGAGATAAAATCAAAATTTAACCATCGCTGTGTACCTGAAAACAGACAAAATACTTGAGAATACTTGAGAAAAACAGTTTGAAGGATGAAAGATTTATTTTGGCTTACAGTTTCAGAGACTTCAGTCTGTGGTCATAAGCCAGAAACGTCACAGTGGAGGGGCATAGCATATGGAAAGCTCTTTACCTCACGGCAGCCAGGAAGCAAAATGGGAAGTCTGACAGGCTTCCTGCTCCCGTTTTTGTTCCCTGCCCACCAGCCCATTGGATGGTGCCATATATATATATATATTTATTCAGGGCAGATCTCCACCCTCAGTCTACTGTCCCACATACCATTTATCTCTGGAAACGCCCTCCCAGGAGCACCCAAATGTGTGCTTCACTAATTTCTCAACCCAGTCAAATTGACAATCAAAATTAACCATCATAGTACCAACTTAGTGGTAGCAAGGATGTGGTGGAATTCACTTTTTTGGTAGGTAGCTTGCTTTCGTTCTTTAGGAAATGAAGATCACTATGTATTTGCCTCCAAAATGTTTGTATCCTGTGGTTATAATCTCATGTCTAGTACTTGTTGTCCCTGAAGAAATTTGTTATATGAAGAGAGTTGGATGCAAAACTTGTTTGCAAGTTGAAAGCCATCTAAATGTCCAGTAACCAAAGACTAGCTTGAGTAAACTGGCAGATCTTCTTGGTAAATGTCATTACTTTTCTTTTTTTTTTTTTGCTTAAAAATTTCATTTCTTATTCATGATACTTTTTGGGGTTTTTTTGAGACAGATTCTTGCCATGTAGTTCAGGGTGGCCTTAAACTCACTGCAGTTTTCCTGCCTCAGTTTCCTGAGTGATGGGATTAATTCTGTACCACCATACCTGGCTAGATAATTTAATAATTGACTATTGTAACCTATTGTTCTAAATATAAAGTGTTTTGATAAAATGAAAAAAGCTGGGTGTGGTGGTGCACACCTATAATACTAGAACTCTGGGGGCTGAAGCAGGATGATCACTTCAAATTCAAGACCAGTTTGAGCTACTTAGTGAATATAGAGTGACCTATCTCAAAAAAAAAAAAAAGTTTTTGAAATACTAAGAGGGTTGGTAGGTTATTGGTTAAGCTGGGCTAAACAACAACTGCAGAAACTTAACATGATTTCCTGTTTTCTTGTTAATGTTTTATCCTTTTGATCTTTGTAGTGCAATTAAACTGAGGCCAAAGGAAGGGGAGACCTATTTTGACATTGTGGCTGTTGTTGACCCTGTCACCAGAGAAGCACAAAGGCTTGCCCCACTGCTGTTGGTAAGGACTGATGAAGAAGCAGTTCACATTGTCTGACAGAAGTAGGCATGTGCCCTTTGTTATTTAGTCATCTTTCAGGAGCACTGCAGTATGTATGATACAGGGCATCTTGGGCAGAGCAGTCTTTATAGAGATTGATAATGTCTTTGAAGACAACTTTATAACTTCAGCAATTTAAATGAATAGGCCAGGGATAGAGCTCAGTGGCACAAGCGCCTTCCTGGCAAGCATAAGATCCTGAGTTTGCTTTCCGGTTTAAAAAAAAAAAAAACTACATGAACATTTCAGAGTAAATTATTGCTCTATGTAAAAAACAGTACAAGTTTTTTGTGCTACTTCATGTGATTACAAATGATTAATATCCTCATTTAGAGCAAAATACTTTTAAATTAAATTAATTTATGCTGTAAATCCAGCAGCCAAGGAGTAGAAAAGTAAGACTAGTTCTACTTCTTTCTTGTCCATTTTTTATAACCACTGTGGACCTTTTCTCTGAAGCATGCCTTTTATATATATGTGAGATATGTAAGGTACAATTCTATGAACATTTAAAAGAGCTCTTATATAAACAGTTACTTAAGGGGTTGGGGGTTTAGCTCAGCGGCATAAGCACCTGCCTTGCAAGTGCATGGTTGTGAATTTGATCCCTGGTACTGATTAAAAAAAAAAAAATCACTGACCTTTCATTTATTTGGATTATTTAAGGTAACATCTTTATTGAAGTACAGTCATCTGAAATTTTTGTAGGCATTTGTATTTATGGTTTTTCATTCTTTACCTGAGTTGAAACACTGAGCCGTTACGTTTTCTTTGGGTAGGTTGATGTTTGTCACCTGTCTGTTGCTCCCTCTGACTCTGTGTTATATTTTGTTCATGTGAGAAACAGTGAGCTTTGTGTCCGTGTCTGTCTGTGTATCTGTTTCTCTCAGAGGGCAGATTATATGATTGAATGATTTAGATCTGCACTCCAGTTACAATTTCCAGAAATTGCCAGTATAGATTTTATGGCAGTTGTTTTTATATATCTTTCCTTAAGATATTAAGAAATGTTCACTCTCTTAACTCAATGTCAAGTAATTTCTGAAGAGAAAATTTAATCTGTCTTCTGGTTTGTCCTTATAGGTTTTGACTCAGCTGATAAATATGAATCTAAGGGTGTTTATGAATTGCCAATCTAAACTTTCAGACATGCCTTTAAAAAGGTAAAAAAAAAGTGGTAAAACATATTATTTAAGAAATTGGAATTGGAAAACATGGTATCAAATGCAAAAGGAGTATTGAACACTAAAGAGTTCCATGGATTTCGGTGCTGCATGTCAAGTTCAAAAAAGCATTTATTGCAAGTTCAATTTGACAATTTTTTTCTCTAATCAAAAGTACTGAGAGTGTGGGCATGGGAACATGGTGGTATTAACCTAGGGTTCTTGCACTGTATATTTCACCTTGAAAGAAGAATAGGCCTTAATTAAAGAATATGTATAGTAGAGCACCCTATTTTCAAGTACACTATTTTGATAAACGAGATCAGGCTTAGCTTTTTTATATTGTCATGAGCTTTGGGATGGTCATTTATGGAAAAACTGGCATTAAAAATCAGTTAATTATAGTTTAGCACATGTTGTAGCTGCAGAAAATTATTCATTTGCACATGTGCTGTATTCCATAGCTTTGATTCTAAATGAATTGAAACAGTTTTCGCAAGTGACCAGAATTTTTGCAGGTGTCACCACGGTCTGATATAAAGAAATGTTTGTAGTATTACATGCAACCCAGGTGTAGTGGCACACATATTATTATATACAAGCCAAATGTGGTGGCATGCACCTGTAATCCCAGCACTCCAGAGCCTAAGGCAAGAGAATCACTATGAGTTTGAGGCCAGCCTGAACTATACTACATAGTGAGAACCTCTGTGTCATTCCTCTCCCCCACTCAATTATTATATATAGTGTTTTCAGGGCTAGTGTGAAAACCCAATCACCATTTAAAGACTTGGCTTTTAAGAGAAACTCAAGAGAACAGAAGAAATCTAACACTCTTCTTTTCAATTTCAGCTTTTACCGTTACGTTTTAGAACCAGAGATTTCTTTCACATCAGACAATGACTTTGCTAAGGGTCCAATAGCAAAGTTTCTAGATATGCCACAGTCTCCATTGTTCACCTTGAATCTGAATACACCTGAGAGTTGGATGGTAGAATCTGTCAGAACACCATATGATCTTGATAATATTTATTTAGAAGAGGTAAGAATGTAACAACTGTATTCAGATATAATTTGTATACCATCAAATCTATCCTTCTGAAATATCCAGGTTAGAGGTCTTATTATATTCCCAGAATAGGGCAGCCATCCCCATTGTCTGATTCTAGTGTTTTCATCAACCCAGAAGAAGCTGCATCCCCATTAGCATCATGCTTCATCTCCAGGCCCTGCCAACTATAGTCTACTTTCTACCTCTGTAAATTTGCCTGTTTTGGCATTTTGTTTAAATAGAATCATACAAGCTGGGTATTTAGATCAGCAGCATAAGCGCCTGCCTGGCAAGCTCAAGGTCATGAGTTTGATCCCCAGTGCCAAATAAATAGAATGATACAAGGTATGGTCTTTTATGACTGCCTTCTTTTGCATAACAAATGATTCCCAAGGTCTAACCATGCTCTAGTGTGTACCAGTGTCATTCTTTTTAGTGCCAAATGACTTTCCTTTGTATGGATATACTATACTTTATCCATTCGTGAATGGTCTTATGGCTTATTTCTGCTTTTTGGCTGTTATGAGTAATGTTATGAATCTTGTACTGATCCATAAGTATATGATGGCTATTTAGTTCTCTGATTTTTTAAGTGTCTGTCCTCCATATTTTTTTTGAATAATCTCATTCTCTCTTCTCCTGTCTTCTTCCAACTCAGTGTTTATAATTGTATAGTCATAAACCACTGTTACAGTCAAGATATGGAACTTTCCTTCATCCCAAGAAGTCCATTATACTTCTTTGCAGGCAGCCACAGTGAATGATTGACATATTGTTTATTACTGTCATTTTGCCTTTTCTTAAATTTCTTACGATATGATCCTGTAGTATATAAGTCCTTTTGTTTGCCTCATTCGTTTTGCAAAATACATTTCAGGTTTTCCTGCTGAGTAACTTTCTCATGATCTGTTTTGGTATTGCAGGTGGACAGTGTAGTGGCTGCTGAGTATGAGCTGGAGTACCTGTTACTTGAAGGGCATTGCTATGACATCACCACAGGCCAACCGCCAAGGGGACTGCAGTTTACCCTAGGAACTTCAGCCAATCCCGTCATTGTGGACACCATTGTTATGGCCAATCTGGTAAATAGTCCACATACCAGGTAGAGATATGGCAGTCATGTTCATTTGGGAATTATAATTTATGGGGGAACAATTACTGTCCTGAACCACAGAGCAAGATTCAGATGCATAATTGGCTGAATTTGGTTTGTATAAAAATCATTAGCTTGGTTAAATATGAAGACTGGAAGTACTTACCTGCTTAAAAGAAGAAACAATACCCTGATCTAATCATATTAGGCCCTAGAAATGCATTGCTCCTGAGCTGCCTGCCTTGCTCTCTTCTTTAGGAAGTTGGCAGCTCACTCAGCTGTCACACATTGCATCTTTCCTGGTACATAGCTAATGAGTGAGCATCATGGCTTGCTTGGTGTGTATTTGAGGAGTGTGTCTAATATGTAGTTGTTTTATTGTCGTTTCTGCATTGCTTGATATGTTAACATTTAATTATCAGGTGTCTAGTTCTTCAGAAGGTGATGAAACTATTCCTAAGAAATAGTATTTTTATGTTTTTAAAGAAAACTGAAATTTGGCTTTTCTTCTTATCTTAGGGCTACTTTCAGCTAAAAGCCAATCCAGGAGCTTGGATTCTGAGACTTAGGAAAGGACGCTCTGAAGATATTTACAGAATCTACAGGTAAGATCACTTGATGCTAGTGCACTTTTCCATAACATTTTGAACTAAGAAAATATAGTCAAGTTTTATTCTCCATTAGTTCATTAGTTACAATACTATCCCAGAATCAAATCATGCTTGCCATGATGCTATCCATAGGCAGAGGAAAAATTTTGTCATTTGAAGAAAGGAGAAAAAAATAAAAAACAGCCAGACGTGGTGGTATATGCCTGTAATCCTAACAAGAGGATTGCTGTGAATTCAAGGCCAGCCTGAACTGCATAGTGATTTAATGGCAGCCTGAATTATATATTGAGACACTGTCTTAGAAAAAAAAAAAAAAAAAGAAACAACAATCAGAAAAGAGAGTATATATTTTGACCCTGAGGGTCTTACAAGTATGTAGTATATATAAAATTAGACCATGAAACCTTCTTGTCAGTTATGGTCTTTCTTGGTCTGTGGTGTTACAGAAACACACTAGGTTATTCTGCCATTGACCAGATTTTTGTCTCATGCACAATTATACTCCTTTTAGCTGGGCTTGGTGGCCTGTACCTCTCATCCCAGCCATTCTAGAGACTGCAGCAGGAAGACTGAGTGTTCTAGGCCAGTCTGGACAACTCAGAAAAACCGTGTCTCAAAATAAAAATGGCTTGCCCGCTTAGAATGTGTGAGGTCGATCCCCAGTGTTGCAGGGGAAAAGTAAAACCACACTGCCTTTAAAGAAGCTTGGTCTATCTTCTGCCTAGTGAGTTTAAAATAGTCCTAAGTTCTGTGAAAAAAAAAAAAAAAAACTTGCATGAATTTAACTAGGGAATAATTTTCACCAGCATTTATTTGCAATGCTCCCTTGTGTATCATTGCCTTGACTCCGCAGTATCTCACTCAACACACGTGAAAGCAGTGTTAGTGGTGATTTCTGACTCAGTAAATAGGAGAATTTTAGGTTATAGTAACATCATTAGTGTAGGTAGACTTTTTTTTCCCCACATAGCACAGTATTTTAGTTGTGCTTTCAGATCCCTGGCCTTCTGTGTGTTTCTTTCCTGTCCTCCATTCCCACAGGCTGTAGTGCCACCTCTTTCTAGCTGTGCCCCCTGAGGCCACAGTGGTTCATATCTGAGGCTTCTTCCTGCCAAAACCTTGCTTTTGCCTGAGAACTCTTCTCTGTCTTGGGTAACAGCAGATGCAGTGAATTCATAGTTATTGTGACTTCCTGCACTGTGAAATTTGGTGACAGAAATTTTAGGCATAATTGGTTAGCAGGAAAATATTTTACATTTTTACTTCTCTGTAGTTGTCTGCCTACAGAGAGAGCTGGTTATAGTTCTTCCTATTGGAAGCACTAGATTGGCTGACTGAGTGCCCCAGATAGGACAAGAGAAGTTTCTTCACAAAACTGTTCCACTTAAAAGAACAAACATTGCCAGGTGTGGTGGCACATGCCAGCAGTTAGGAGGCCGAGGCAGGAGGGTCTCTGCGAGTTTGAGGCCAGCCTGGACTACAAAGTGAGCTTAAGGCCAGCCTGAACTGCATAGTGAACCCTGTCTCAAAAAGACCAGAATAAATAAATAAATAAAATTTAAAAAGAATAGATAGAATTTGGCTCCAGTGGGCTCCTTCCCCTTCCTTTATTGAAACTATTCTGTATATGTCAGACCTACAAATAAGGGCAATTGATATGAGCAAAATACATTGTATACAATGAGCCCCCTCCCAAAATGTGGAAGGTGGGGCAGGTCAGAACAAGAGGTGGTGTAGTGAGGGGATGATCAAAGTATGTTGAAACCTGTTAATCTGCATAACCAATTAAAAAACTGAAAAGAGCAGGAAGAGCTGCAGGCACCCTCAGTTCCTCAGTGCTCACCATGTATTTGCAAGGTGCAGGAGCTCCTCACTTGACCATGGGCAACTGGGGATTACTAGGAAGGAAGCTAGGATGCTGATCCCATATGTAGATTTTGGCAGTTTCTTGTGTGCAGGTCAAAAGGGCTCTCTGCAGGTTCTGAGCAAATAATTTGTTCTGAAAAAGTGACAGATAGATGAGGTGTTATTTTGTCTAAGAATTTGCTGCACTTTGAGAATTGTGATATTTAGTGTCTTATTTTGCTTTTTTCTCTAAGCCACGATGGTACAGATTCTCCTCCTGAGGCTGATGAGGTGGTTGTCATCCTTAACAACTTCAAAAGCAAAATTATTAAAGTGAAGGTGAGTTTGGCGTACTAAAGCAACCATTCTTTTATAGTTGTTCACAGTAGTGGCATTCTGCTACTCATCAGTCAACATATAAACTTTAGACATTGGTTGCTCCTCATTCAAGATTTCAGATCCCCACGAGCAGCCACAAGCTGAATAGTGCTTCTCTTTGTGTTGACTCTCTCAAGAGCAACCATTATAATGTATAATGTAGTGCCGTAATTTTCCTATTAGGTGTCATAAATTTCTTATCGTACCTAGTTTATGAATTAAACTTTATTATGATAAGTATTAATGTATATAAAGTATAGACAAGATTCTGTACTAAGGTTTTAGGCATCTACTGGGGTTCTTGGGAAGTATTCCCTGAAGATAAGGAGGACAGCTATGTCTATAAACCAATCCAAAAAACTTCATAGAATTCACCATAGCAGTTATGGAAATAGTGCTTTAAGGTAGAATATTTGTAAGTGTGAATTTATGTCTTGCTTCAACAAAAAGCTTAAACCTTTTGGATAATCCTCAGTGAGCAAGAGTCTTGTCCCACTTTTTTAAATATAAAAGTGTCCTCTCAGAGGCTGTTGCTTATATCACCATCATGCGTAATAGTATTGATGATTTTATTCTCAGAATAGTAGGGAAAATGCTAGTGAAGATAACCAACAGTGAAATGTTCTATTTAATTTCTTCTTTGTATCCTCACTATTTTGGAGTTCTTAGTACCTTAAAGTAAAATGTAGTGTTGAATAAATAATCTCTATGTGAAGGCCAGGCATTTAGCTTAGCAGTGCAAGTGCCTGCTTGGCAAACGCGAAGTCTTGAGTTCGATCCCTGGTACAAAAAAAAAATTTTTTTTGTATGCATAGCAATCCCTACTGTCACTCATGCGTAATGGGCAGAAAACTGTGCCACAGGGAAGAAACAGCCTGTGTTTGTGTTAGCAAGTCCTGCCAGCAGCTTGTGATCTGACGTGCCTTTCCTCCTTGGCTCCTGGATGGCTCCTGGATGCTGCGCTCCTCCTGCGCTTGCTGTTAGCTTAGTGAAGTGTGTTCTGTACTTGCTTAAGCTGTATGTTCCATATGGCTGAATTTAAGGTTATTCACTCATTGTACAAACTAAAAATAGTCTTTGCTTAAATAAAAGAGGTTGCTATCCCCTTATTTAATATTCTGATGTGACCATCCTGATGAATAAATGCAGGGCTTTCCTTTTCTTTTCCAGATTGTATTTTTATTAGTACCTGTTGGTGATAATAATGCTTACATTCGTGGGGGAATGGATGCACACATCTGGATTCTTTTTTCCATCCCCTAAAGATACTTGTGTTGAGTACTAATGGACTCTGGAAAGCTGTACTAGCTTGTGGGTTGATAATTCCCTGTCGTAATCAGTGTTCATGGTGGCACCCAGGACAAGGCAGATTTATCCCGATAGACCTAGGGAAGTAAGACTCGTCACATGTGATTGCAGGTGCAGAAGAAGGCAGACATGGTAAATGAAGACTTGCTGAGTGATGGAACAAATGAGAACGAATCTGGATTTTGGGACTCATTCAAATGGTAAGCTGGCATTTTTTTAAAAGCTAGATTTTTAAGGAAAAACTAGCATCCAGCCCTCTTTTTTTTGAATGGTGCCCTATCTGGGCCTTTCATGCTCTTTGTGCAGCCCAGTCTCACATTTCTGTTTGGTGAGGGTGTTCCCCAGTCAGTTCTCTCCAGGAACTTCCTGTCCCTTACTGGTGAGCTCGAGCTCTATGCTTGAGTTCCTTGGGTTGTGCCTGCTCTTTGCAAAGGTGTTTGGTCACTGCCAAATTTGTTTCACATGTTCTGTGGACCACCTGTGTCTCGTTTGTCCCCAAAATAGCAAGATGCCTTGGAGGGAGCATCTCCTTTTATCCATGGAGTAGCATCACTATGTGGCATCTAAAAGACTGGCTGCCACTTGGTAGGCTCTCACCCACTACTGTAAGAGTGGTGATGGAAGGCACCATCTATTTCCCCTCGCCTTAGAAGACTGTGTATATGGCCACTACTTGAAAGGGTACTGTTTTTACTGTGTTGTTACAGGGGCTTTTCAGGAGGACAGAAGACTGAGGAAGTGAAACAAGATAAAGATGACATAATTAATATCTTCTCCGTCGCATCTGGACATCTCTATGAAAGATTTCTTCGGTTAGTCTTATAGATTATTCAGTACATGCTAATGAATTTATCACAGGATTCTTATTTAGAGACAAAAGGCTTTATAAGATTCTTTTCATTTATGTGTTTTTTGGAGCACTTTGAGAACTAGGAATAACTTGCCTTGTGTAATCCTCTCTGTTTTGATCCATTTAATCCCATGAAGTTTAGCTAGGTAATGAATGCCTCTGTGGATATTATAAGCCTACAGAATTTTAATATCACATACACATTTTACAGTGTGTGTTTACTTGGCCACCAAAGATTGCTTAAGCCAAAACTCAGGAGATTGACATAGAGAATTCTGTACTACCTTCTATAGATCCATAGGCCATGAGAGCCAGGAGACCCTAGTTCTTATGTAAGTACACTTCAGCTTTGTTAACGAGCTGAGGCTGGAGTGGAAAGGGACTTGCCTAGTCATACAGCCCGAGGCAGGAGAGCCTAGAGGCTCAGACTGACTAACTCAGGTCCGGGGCCACCAGAAGGAAAGATGTCAGAGGACTCAGCTCTGAAAATATATCTTTGGGGGCTGGGGATTTAGCTCAGCGGCATAAGCGCCTGCCTTGTAAGCAGGCAGTTGTGAGTTCCATCCCTGGTACCGATAAAAAGGAAAAAGACAAAAAAAAAAAAAAATGTATCTTTGTCTGCAAGTTGCTTTCCTGATTGCCAAGACTCTTTTAATTTTATACCACAACCCTAATATAGAAAATAAAATTAAAATAACCTTTCATTTGTTTTTAGCCTTTCGTTTCCAAGAAAAAGAACTAAAATAATGACAGTGTAATCAATTTAAATTAATGCTTTGAATCAAGAATCTGAGCGTTGGCCCCTGGCCTCCCTCACCCTCTCTGGTCTTCCCTGGCAGGTGTAGGGGAGGCTGTCCACATGCACATGATCTCCTCAATACCGTGTGCTGCTGTGGCTTGACGGGTGTTCTGAGAGTGATGGCATTGGCTTACAACTGTGATTTATTATACCATAATTGTTGTATCAGTTCATAAAGTAGTTTATTGAAAGGAACAATAGAGCTAACATTTTTTTCTGTCAAGTATCAAAGATAAGTCGACAGGCAGGAATAAGTGCATTTGCCATGATTAGGAGTTTCTCTTTGCCTAATTGAGTCATGAGTTAGCTCTGCCAAGCTGGCTCAAAACTGACACTGCTTTATGGGACTGAGGTTCAAAGGCAATGGAACATTATTATTCGTTTTTGTTTGGCAGTATAATGATGTTGTCAGTGCTGAAGAATACCAAGACTCCTGTGAAATTCTGGTTCTTGAAGAATTATTTGTCCCCCACATTTAAGGTTTGTTTCACAGAGAAAAAGAAACTATTAAAAGAGATGTTTACTGTATTTTTTTTTTACCCGCTTTGGTTTTTATCTATACACTTTCCATTTGTTAAAATACCCTTAGTTATGTATTTCTGTGTTGCTTTTTCTTCAGATTGTTCTGTTCGGGGAAAACAGTTTATAACATTAAATACAAAATTATGGCCTCTTTGAAACTTCAGTAATATAAGAGAAGCTGTATCTTTGTAAAAAGGAAACATTTTAATGAAGTAACACACTTCTCTCTGAAGTCTTTAAGTTAAAAGTATGGTGATAGTGCAGGTTGAGGAGATTCATTAGTTCTCACAAACTACCACCAAATATGTATGGAAATGATGATTCATCTGTGCAAAATAAAAGCACATTGAAAAGTTTTGTTTTTCTGTATCAGCAAGGTTTGTTATCTAAATTGATTTTGGGGACTTTTTTCTGTCTGCCAAAGTTACTGAACAACTTTTAATGCATTCCGTCATATCTCTCTTACATCACTAATTCATTTTTGGTCCCCTGAAGGTGCTTTCATTTTGAACTTGGAAAACTAATTCATTAATGACAGCAAGTGTGTCAAGAGTATTTTGGCTTTGCCCTGTTGTTCCCTAAATTAGACCTATCCTTAAGACATTGAGAAAGGCTTATCTGTAATCAGAGTCAAGAAATGTTTTATAGGGGCTGGGGATTTAGCTCAGGGGGTTAAGTGCCTGCCTTGCAAGCAGGTGGTCGAGTTCGATCCCCAGTACCGATTAAAAAAAAGAAAGAAATGTTTTACTGGGCCAGTGATTTAGCTCAGTGGTATAAGTGCCAGCTTGGCAAATGCAAGGTTGTGAGTTTGATCCCCGATACCAAACCAAAAAAACCTATGTCTTACTAAAATCACATTTAAACAAACTGACTTAAAGTTTACATGCCTTATACACACATGCACACAGACACACAGAATTACAGATCTAAAAGCATTCACCACAGATTTCTGTCATTTCATGTGACCAAAATTTGTAAAGAGAAGAGGATTTGAGTCAAGGTTATGCTTTGTTAAATCACTATTTGGTGAATGTGCTTTACATGTATCACGGTCATGGTGGCTGGCTTATGTTAGGAAGTAAATTTTCTAAATCAGAGTAAGCAGCTATGTTTCCTTGTGTCTAAATCTAGGAGTTTATACCTTATATGGCAAATGAATACAGTTTCCAGTATGAGCTCGTTCAGTATAAATGGCCCCGATGGCTTCATCAACAGACTGAGAAACAGCGCATCATCTGGGGCTATAAGATCCTTTTCCTGGATGTGCTTTTCCCACTAGTTGTTGACAAATTCCTGTTTGTGGATGCTGATCAGGTAAGCTTGAAGGCCAGATTTTGTTGATTTATATTAAAGGCAGCAAACTTTCTAACTGCTGTTTTGCAAATTATGGAAAAGTACCTACTCATTTTACACTATTTAGAAAAGATGGAATGATATCACACAGATTGGATCACATTTCTTACATTTAGTGTGTCTCATTTTCATTTTTTCTGTCCTTTTAATATACTTGTGACATCATTATGCAGTCTTGTAGGTTACTTAATTCATTTAATATAAAAACTAGAATTAGAAAACTAAGGTTTACCAGTACTTGCTGTCCTCTCTAGTTATATGCCCAAAATATAGCTATTATTGAATGACAGATGAAGTGAAAGTGATTCTTGGCTTAGTAATCAGGAGTGCTGCAGATAGCTTCTAGTTGCCAGGATTTGACCTGATTACAGGTAATGTATTGTGACTTTAAAGCATTCAGACTCAAATGTATATATGCACTTCTACCCTGAAGCCTCACCCTCCCCAAGTGAAGCAGTGTAATGTTTGTAGAAGTCACCTGGACAGAGCTTCACCACCTCTTTGGAATCTCTCAGGTGGCTCATCTGAAGATGCTGTCCTGCTTCTTATCTGGCCATGTGACTTTTTGGGGACTTACAGTGGCCAAGGCATTGTTCCACATCTATCAGAATGTGAGCTTGCCTCATCCTCCCAGCAACTCTGAAATAGGTGCTATGTTATCTCCATCTTTTGGATGAGGAAACCCAGTGTTAGTGAACCTAAGCAACTGAAGTTTTTTTTTTGTTTGTTTCTACTCCTGTTGGATACTTAGAATCATGTGGGAGCGCATACCAGGCTAAGTGTTAGTGAAGGCTGGCTGCCTTCCTAGCTGCCTTTCATGATTTATTTTGTTATTTTAAGGAAATCACATTAGAGCTCTCTGCATGGTAGACGGAAAAATGACTTTTGATATTTTTTTCTACAGATTGTACGAACAGATCTGAAAGAGTTAAGGGATTTCAATTTGGATGGTGCTCCTTATGGTTACACTCCGTTCTGTGATAGCCGAAGAGAAATGGATGGCTACAGGTTCTGGAAGTCAGGATACTGGGCGAGTCATTTAGCTGGGAGGAAGTACCATATCAGGTAGGTACTGGGAAAGGATACTCCTAATGACGAGTGTTTCTTTTTAAATTTAATTTTGTGCATTTAAAATTCTGAGTAGGTAATATATTACTATGACTTAGGAATGAAAATTACAAAAAAAAAAAAAAAGTGATACTGGGCATAGTAGTACACAACTGTGATCCCAGCACTTAGTAGGCTGAAACAAGTTTGCTGTGAGTTCAAGGCCAGCATGGAGTACACAGCAAGATTCTGTCTCAAAAAAACAACAAAAAAGTCCATGTTTCAAATCTTTTTTTACCCAGGGGCTAGGGATATAGCTTAGTGGCACAAGAACTGCCTCACAAACATGAGGTCATAAGTTTGATCCCCAGTAACAAAAACAAACAAACAAACAAAACAAAAACCCGTTTGATCAAATTCCTACCCCAACAGATAACCTCCCTACTTATTTATTTTATGTCCTTCTAGAGTTTCTTACATAACATCTATGAATGCATTCTTTCTTATACCAAATTTACCATCTTTTTTACACTGTCTTATAACTTTAAGATTTTAATTCTAGATTTTATCGTATCAATATATAGAGAGGAATTTTATTTCTTTTTCCAGCTGCATCTTATTCCAATGTTATTTATGGGTTTTTTGCTGTGATATACTATTGCAATGAATGATTATTAAATATATTATTTTGCATATTTCAGGTGTGTTTGTAGGGTAAATCTTTATATATAGTTCTTTTAGGTCTAACAGTATATCCTTTTGTTGCATTTTTAATGAATATTTCATGTCTTCTCTGGGAGAAGTATAATTTGAAAGTTATGAAGAATAAGGGACCTGTAGGAAGTGACACATACAAAAATAAAAGATGAGATGCGGTGATTTCAGCTTCCTACTTGTGGTCCTGGGCCAAAAGAACTTTCAACACTGTGGGGTTTTCTCTTCTGTGATATTTAAGATATCAGGATATCTCTAAGAGTTATTTGTCAGTTACTGTACCTTTATTACCAAAATTGCTGCATTTGCTGAAAGCTTTTGTCAGATATTTTCTTGGAAGGTGGTGCAGTAAGGAACAGTGATCACAATAATCTAATGGTAACAGAATATGGATTTCACAGTAACTTTTGTAAACATCTTTGAAGTAACACCTGTAGACCGTTAACTTTACAGTAGGCTGGAGCTCACAGCTCAAAGAGAGCCAGAATGTTTGGCTAGTAGTCTATTCCATTATTCAGTGGGGTTGGCTTTTCCTGCCACAAATCCATGGATGGTTGTAACAAATAGGTCTTCTCTGTTCAGTGCATTGTACGTTGTGGATCTGAAGAAGTTTAGGAAAATAGCTGCTGGAGACAGACTCAGGGGACAGTACCAAGGTCTGAGTCAGGATCCCAACAGCCTTTCAAATCTGGATCAAGTAAGTGACCATTTTTTGTGGTTACCTGTTTCCATGATGGTGTATACAATTTTATGTCAGAAAATGGGGTATTATTTGTGTCTCAATTCTCTATTCAGAACAGTGTCAGTTTTTCTTATGGAAAGGGTATGTGTTGAGAGATAGTGAGACATGCCCATCTCAGGAGAAAACTTACCAGTAGTTACGTCAGAGACCTGATAGGGGTTAAGGGAGCAAGCTAAAAAGAGGGTGCTGCCTTTCTAAAGAATTACCTTTTAATTTTTGTACTCAACTTCATCTGATATGTTTCTCTGCCTGCTACAATTTGTTTTTCTGCTTTAAAGACTAAATACCTCAGGATTTATTGTCTAGAATATATCAGAAGCCATAGTATGTTTCAAGACAGCTAAATCACTGTTTATTGATACCAGGCGTTTTTTTGGAGGTGAGGTTGTAGTTGGTATAGTTTTACATATGTTAGGCATTTTGTTTTGCTTCTTGATTTCTTAAAGTCTACCTTCAGATTTCTTAAAACTTTTATTGAAATGTATAGCATCCATAAAGAAGAATGCACAAATCAAAAGATACATCCATATTCATTTATATCAAGGAATTATAAAACAAATGCCTTATAACTACAAGAATTAGCATTTCAAAAGCCATACTGTATCTCTAACAAAAGTATCTAGCATCCTGACTCTTACAGCAATCACTTCATTTGCTTTTCTTTAGAGATTTGCTATGTAAGCATATATTTTTAAATGCTGTAGTTGAGTTTACCTGTTTTTTCTCTTCTAATTCAGAGGAATCGTAAAAGATGTACTCTTTGTAGTCTGATTGCTTTTGCTGAGGACTATCTTGTGATTTACACGTGTTACTTGTGTATTCTGTATTTTCTGTTTTCTTCCTCCCTTCCTTCTTTCCTTCCTTCCAATGGGGCCTTGCTACATTGCCAGGCTGGTGTTGAACTCATGGGATCAAGTGATCCTCCAGGCATATATTATCATGTGTAGCCTCTTTTACTTCCATCCGTGATGATGCTGCCATACACATTCTGGCACATGAATACACATATTTCAATTGTGTAGAAAACCATAAATGAAACTGCTGGTTCATCAGATGGAGTGTCTTTGTCTTATATACATAATGCCAAACAAATTACTTTAAAAGTAATATCATTTATATACTCACCAGCAGTGTAAGAGTTCGTGTTTGGACCAATATTTATTAGTACATATGACTGGGGTAGATGGTGGAGTGGTGAACAGCACCTCGTCAGCCTCTTCAAGATTCAGAACCCATACACGGTGTATGCCAACTTTTGGTAGAAAAGAAGGAGGGAGGTAGATCCCCAGGACCCAGGAAGGATCTAAAAGAATCTGATATGATCTGGCATCCCATTGTGATTTTTCAGCTGGAGAATTAAATCTGTTTATTTTTCATGTGATTATTGATTAAGCAGGCTTACATCTGCCATTTCCTATTTTTTATCTCTGTATGCCTTGTATCTTTTGTATTCTTTTGTTTTTCCCCTTTTACATTTTTTCCCAAATCCATTTTATTTTAGGGATAAAATTTTTTAAAAAAAGAACAAAAGAAGCGGAAAAAAAACCAAAATTTGAAGACACGTCAATCAGGGAGCAATAAGAGTATATACATTGAGGATTATCATGCCCAAATCATTGACCCAAGGCACAAGACATCTGCATTCAGTTGTCCCAACAATACCAGCACAAATCTATCTCTTGAGTGAACTCAGAGAAATCAGTAGTATATCTGCCCTATCACTTTCATATATACATAAACATATACATAAACATATGTTTTTTCTATCAGCTTCTCACACTAATGAAACAGTATGATGTTTACACATGTATGTGTATGTGTATTTATCTGTTTGTTTGTTTGTCTTTTTCGTTTTTATCGGTACCAGGGATTGAACTCACGACTGCCTGCTTGCAAGGCAGGCGCTTATGCCACTGAGCTAAATCCCCAGCCCCATGTATTTCTCTTCACAATGAGTATGTTCTTAAGCTGCATCCATTTACCTATAAGTCTCGAGCTTATCCTTCTTTATGGCTGAGTAGTGCTCCATTATATAAAAAGACCAATCTTTTTTAATCCATTCTCAGTCGATGGGCATTTAGGTTGTTTCCAAAATCTGGCTGTTAAAAACTGTGATGCTATAAACATGGATTCACATACATCACTGTGGTATGATATTTTTAATTGTTTTGGGAAGATACTCAAAAGGGGAATATCTGAGTTGAATGCAACCTCTAGTTCTAGCTCTTTGAGGAATCTCGATATTGATTTCCACAGTGATTGCACCATCAATAGAAGAGGAGTGTTCCTTTTTCCGCACAGTCCCTCCAGCATTTGTTACTGCTTGATTTCTTGATAGTAGCCATTCTTTCTGACATGAGGTAGAATCTATGTTGTTTTAATTTGCATGTCTCAAATGACTAGTGAAGTTGAATGTTTTTTGACATATTTATTGCTATTTGTATTTCTTCATTTGAAAAGTATGTGTTCATCTCAGATGCGTATTTTTGGACTGGGTCTTTAAATTTTGAAAGACTGATTTTTTTTTTTTTTTTTTTTAGTTCTTTATGTGTTCTCCATAGTAATCCTCTGTCTGAGGAACAGCTGGCTAACAATTTCTTTCACATTGTGGGTTAACTCTTCACTTACTCTGTTGGTGATTTCTTTTGCCACACAAAAGCTTTTCAGCAGTGCAAGATCCTAGTTGTTAATTCTTTGTGATAGTTCCTGTGCAATTTGGGTTTTGTTCATAAAATTTTTCCCTATACCAGTGTCTTCAAGAGTTTTACTTTATCTTCCAGCAGATTTAATGATTGTGTTTAATGTTAATATCTTTGATCCATTCTAATTTTAGCTTAGTACATGGTAAAAGATATAGGTCCATTTTTAATTTTTGGCATGTGTAGAGCCAGTTTCTCCAGCACCATTTATTAAAGAGGCTATCTTTCTTCCACTGAATCTGTTTGGCATTTTGTCAAAGGTAAGGTGACTTAGTATGTCTGGAATGGTTTGTGCATCTTCTAATCTGTTCCATTGATCTTTGGGTCTGATTTTTTGTTTGTTTGTTTGTTTGTTGCCCAGTACCACATTGTTTTTATCACGATAGCTTTATAGTATAATTTCAAGTCAGGGATTGTGATGCTCCCTGTCTTGTCTTTTTTGCCCAGGATTGCTTTTGCTATTCTAGATCTCCTCTGGTTCCAGATGAATTTTAGGATTGTTTTGTCTAATTCTGTGAGATATGCTATTGACATTTTGATTGGGGTTGCATTTAATCTGTATAACTGTTTTGGAAGTATGGCCATTTTCACTGTATTGGTTCTTCCTACCCAAGAGCATAGGATCTCTCTCCATTTTCGAATATCATTTTCAATCTCCTTTTTCAGAGTATTGTAGTTTTCAATTTAGAGGTCTTTTATCTCCTGTGTTAGATTGATTCCTAGGTATTTCATTTTGGGGGTTATACGGTAAAAGGTACTGTTTCCCTGCTTTCTCTCTTAGTGAGTTTGTTATTTGTGTAGAGGAAGGCTATTGATTTTTGAGCATCAACTTTGTATCCAGCTATGTTACTGAAATTGCTTATAAAATCTAAAAGTCTTTTGGTGGAGTTTTTGTGGTCTTCTAAGTAGAGTATCATGTTATCTACAAGTAATGATAGTTTTAACTTCTTCCTTTCCTATCTTTATTCCTTTTATTTCTTTCTCTTGTCTAATTGTTCAAGCAAAAGTTTTGATGACTATGTTGAGTAAGAGTGGAGACACTGGACATCCTTGTCTTGGCTGTTGGTTTGTCATAGATGGCTTTTATCAGATTGAGATAAAGACTATTCCAATTTTATGTAGCATTTTTATGAATGGATGCTGGACTCTCAAAAGCTTTTTCTGCATCTATTGAGATGATCGTATGATTTTTGTCTTTGGCTGTGTTAATCTGAAGCATTACATTTATGGATTTATGTATGTTGAGCCATCCCTAGCATGAATACCACTTGATCATGGTGTATAATCTTCTTGATGACTTGCTGCAGCCTGTTGTCAGTATCTTATTGAGGATTTTTGCATCAGTGTTCATTAAGGAAATTAGCCTATAATTCTCTTTCTTAGTTGGGTCCTTCTTTTGTTTTAGTATCAGAGTAGTACTTGCTTCCAGAAATGTATTTGAAAGTATTGCTTCCCTTTCAATTTCATTACAGAATTTGAGAAGTAGTGATGTTAGGTCTTCTCTAAATTTCTTTCAGAATTCAGCAGTGATTCCATCGGAGCCTGGCTTTTCTTTGTTGATAAGTTTATAATTATATCTTTGACTTCACTTATTGATATTCGGTTATTTAAGATTTTTATATCTTCTTGATTTAGCTTTGGCAATTCATATGTATTTAGAAATCTGTCTTGTTTCTTCTGTATTTTCCATCTTGTTAGAATGTAAGTTTTCAAAGTAGGTGTAGATGATTTCATGGTTTTCTACAGGGTCTGCAGAGATTTCACCCTTTTTATTCCTAATTGCCTGGATTTGAGTCTGTTCTTTCTGTTTATTGATAAGGTTGGCTAAGGGTTTGTCAATTTTATTTAATCTTCCAAAGAACCAGCTCTTCGATTCATTGTATTATTGTTTTAGACTCCAGTGTGTTAATTTCTGTTCTGTTCTTTATAATTTCCTTTGCTCTCCTTTTATAAAAGTTTGAGGTTCAACATTAAGTTATTTATATGCACTTGCTCTGTTTTCCTGATAAGAGCATTTACTGCTATAAATTTCCCTCTTAAGACTGCTTTCATTGTGTCCCCAAGTTCTGCTATGTTGTATTGTCATTATCTTTCACCTGCAGCAGCTGTCTAATTTATTCTTTAATTTCATGTGACCCATTGGTTGTTCAGGAGGGTGCTATTTAATTCCCATGTGTTTATGAAGTTCTTGTGGTTTCCTTTGGCATGGATTTCCACTTTCATGGCATTGTGGTCTGATAGTATGCATAGGATACT